AATACCTCTTCTGATAAATCTACCATATAATGAATAGTTGTCGACTTGGATCTTTAAATAGTTTGAATTATCACCATTGGTAGTTTCTCCAAATTCTTTTGCAGAACAAATATCGTCGGTTGTGTTTGATTGCATTGATGCTGACATTACAAGTTCTAAGTGATTAAGTGAATTTTCGAATGGATAGTTTGATATTTCGATTGTGTATTTAAGTGTTGATGGGTTCATTAATAATTGTTCTTGAGCAAATGAAATTGTTGTTTGATTTTTGAACCATTTCAAAGTTACTGTTATATTTGTAGTTGCATCTGTTGTTGATTTTGTAAATTCTTTATAAAAAAGTATTGTTGAATCATCAATTTGTTTTGATAGCCAATCATCTTTGAATGTTATTGTTTTTACAACTTCATTTTGAATATTTATTTCTCTAAGTGATACAATCGAAATCAAAGAGTGATAGGTTATTGGTGTTGTGTTATTATTTCCATTGGTATTGTTTTTATCAGGTACAACAATATCGATTGATGGAGAGGTTGAGTTATCGCTTCCGTTATTAAATATTGGTGGATCAATGATTACAATTTGAGATTGACAATCGATACCGACCCATGGTGAATAACAAACACATCCTTGATTATCGATACATTTTCCATTTGTTGGACCACCACATGTTGGGTTACCTTTGCATTGTTGTGGTTTATTGGTTGGTACTGGTGTGACTGTTGGTGGGAATGTTGGTTCTGGATCGCCATGAAGATAATAGTCGTAAACTACTGGTGTAACTGTAATTGTATTTGAATTTATATTTGATGATTTAATATATATTTGATAAGGGTCTTTTGTTGCTTTAACATTTGGAACTTTAACAGCTGTACTAGAGATAAAATCGGTTTTAATTTTAGATACTGAGCCATCTTTAAAAGTAATATATGCTTCGGAATCAATACTGAACTTTCTACCATTTAATATTAAATTGCCTCCTCTTTCAGTTATCAATTGATGTTGTATTATTAAAGGTTGGTCGGATGAAAAGGTTACTGTAATTGAGCTTGTATGGTTCAAGCTTAAAGTATTTGATGAAAAACCACCAAAAATACCATTGTTATTAACAAAACCATAAACTGAAAGAAGAATCATGTTTGGATAAGAATAGCCAAATCCAACTGGTAATTGAATTGTACATGAATAAGTTGCATTGGTTTCAGTAATTTCGATAATACTTGATTTACATTCAATAGATCTGGAGGTTGTATCTGTAAGATAAACAATTGGATATTGATTTGCTTTTAGACCACTTTCTAAATCTTCTGCAACAAAAGTAAATGTAACACTTCTATCTAATTCACTGACATCAATCGCTGTTTTTGATTGGATGAATGATTTTAACACTGGAGCAGTAGTATCAGTTGAGGCAGATGGATGATTGGAACATTGAACTTGAATCTTATTTATATTTGAATCATTTAAAAAATATAAAAAGGGGTTTGATATTGATGAAAAAATTGAATAAATATTAGGAAGTATTGAAAAATCAGATTTTCTATTTACACTGTCAAATAATACAACATCACTGATTATATATTGTTGAGAAATACATGGATATGTAAGATTGAATTTGAAATCATATTCTCCTAAAAATTTATTTCCACCATTTTTAACATTATTGAATGAAACTGAAATGTTGTATATTGATTGATCTATTTCACCTTTGATAACTACAAAACCATCTCTAAAGCCATTAATTGGGTCTTCGATAGCCATAGTCCAACCAATTTCGGCAAACTTATTTGTATCATCGATTTCATTATTTGTAGTTTTTTTAATTTCTTTAAATACTGGACCTTGTAAATCCATATCTATTTAAAACAAAACATTATTAATATTACTATTTTTAATGATAAACTACTTAATTTGATATGCTTACTTGATTTTTTAACTCTTAGCTGAGTATCGAGAACATTGCTGTGTAAAGTAACGTATTCTGTATGAAATATGAATGGCCAATAACCCACTTGGGTATTTGCTTCAACAAAAAACTCTATTTGAAACATTTGAATGTTGTAATTATATGTTGAATGGAACATTTGAATATTTTCAAGAGATTGTTCATTTCCTATATTGGAATTATACGAGTAATCTTCTACAGTTATAGAAAAAATGTAATCTCTTGGGACTCCATTTAAACTAAAGTACAATACATTATAATGTCTGTGATTTGTAACATCAATATCATTATATAAAAAGGATACATTTTCTATTGAAAAGAGATTAACTGTAAAAACAAATTAGTATTATGTTATAATATATTAATATTAATAAAATAATAACATGTTACTTTGTAAATTTAAAGGATGTATAAACATGTGAAAGTCTGGATTAAACGATATAAATTGATAATTAAATTCTTTAGATCCACCATAAATATCATAAAAATAAAAGAAAGATCCAGATGATGCACGTAGAGGAATTTCATATTCGCCTTGAAACTCGTTACCAGATACTAAAGTTTCATAACCAAAAATATTCTCTTGTGCTATAAATGAAAATCCATATGGTATGTTGGCTTTAATCTTGAATAAATATACATCTTGGGTTAAAAAAGATGCTTCAATTTTAATAATCTCTGGCAATTTTAATTTGTCATAGCTCTCTATTAAAGAATGAATTAGTATTATTGTGCAGTTGATATTTTATTGTAATAAAAGTTAATGTTATACCTATATGTGGGATTGAGGATAGTGTTGTATCTCCATCGATTATGGGAGAAACAGATAGTGAAGAATCATATGAAATTGGTCTAGTATAAAAAGTAAAATCAAAAGAATAACCATCCTTATTTCCAAATGTGTAACCCAAAGGATAATTAACATTGTTTGACATGTCACCTACAACAATCCGTAATGGTTGCAAATCAAGAGTACTATCTGAAATTAGGAGTGATCCCACTGGAATCATACTGTTAAAAATAAAATTTCCATTTGGTAAAGGGCTAATTCGATCTATTGAATTTCATAAAAAAAATAATAATTGAGATTCATTTAATATTAATAGTTACAATAATTGAAAAGAAAATATTAATTTTACATACAATTATAGATATTTGTTTTGATAGTTGTATTTGATTGTTTAAATTTAAAACCATTTAAGTAATAAATTTCATAATCTACATATCCATTGTATGTTTCCATTGGAAATATATATTCTGTGCTATTTTCGTTACCATATATAGGATGATAAAACCCGTTAGATTTACCGCTAAAATCTACAGAAAATGGAGCTTTAAAAATAGTATTATTTGATTTAAATGATATTAATACAGAAGCACCATAGCCCATCAAAACCAAATCATCTAAATTCTTTTGATCTGGGTATGTTTTAATATCATAAATAAAATCATATACATCTATCAATAATAATAGTATTTTAATTAGAAATAAATTTTAAAATTATTATTATTATTTTAATAAACACTTACTTTCACTTACCGGCCCAATATCGAAAATCTTATAATTTTCACTGACCTCAATTTTAATATTTAATTTCGAAAAATCAAAATCACTGGCAGCAGGTCGGTCAAGTTGAACGGAAAAAATATTCCCTCCATTGTGATTAACAATGCAATAAGTGTCAACACACGATACAACTATTCCATCCAGTGGTATTTTATCTGGGTTATCGAAAATCAATTGAAAATAACATAACGGGACTAATGCAAAACTTAAAGGTTCCAAAACATTGGTAAATGTTTTTATTTTTTTAAATTCTACAGTATCTAAATCTAAATCTGAGTTTTGATATTATGTTTTAATATGTATTTTAAAAAAATTCAAAAAACAAATTTATTTAAATAAAAAAAAAAAATATTTTAATAAAAATTTCAAAAAAAAAAATTTTGATATAAAAATAATAAGAAAATAAAAAAAATATATATAAAATAATTATAAATATATAAAAGTTTACTTACCATAACATTTAAGTTCTAAAGGAAAAGCTCCATTAATTGTACTTGTCATAGTTCCAATTATAGTTTCAAATTGACAAGTGAATACTGCTGCTGTATCGTTTTTTAAATTTTGTGAACATCCACTTATAATTGGGTCATTTGTAAATGTTAGTTGGTCACAATTTTCGCCAACTTCAGTAGTAACACATAGAAATTGTATTTGAAATCTACATATCGGACCTCTTGCAAACTTTTTATAGTTTTCACTTTTTAGCGAGATATCTTTAATATAATAACTTTGGGCATTGTCAAATAAAAAAAAGTACAATAAAAAATAAAAAATAAAATAATTGATTCTCATATTTTATATTCTTTTATATATTTATATTTTTTAAAATTTATTATCATAAAACAATCGAAAAAAAAAATATAAAAAAATATAAAAAAAATAAAAAAAATAAAAAAAAAAAAAAATTTCAAAAAAAATCTAAAAATATCTTAAAAAGGGTTGTTGGCTCTTTTATCTTTTGTTGGGAATGAATTAGAATTTACATTTTTTTAAAATTTCTTACTATAGCATTCAAATTCTAAACAAAAATTCTATTAGTTGTATTTTTCATAGCTCCAATAATAGTTTCAAATTGATAAACCAATACTTCCACTGTATCGTTTTTATATTGGCCACAATTCTGGCCAATTTCGTTTGTAACACATAGAAATTGTATTTGAAAAAAAAACTTCGAACCTCCTGCAAAATGTTTATAGTTTCCGCTTTCTAGTGAGATATTTAATATAATAACCTTCCACATTGTCATATAAAAAAAAAGTACAATAACAGCATTGAGCCATGTCTTCTTCACAAAAAATGGAGTTGTATATGATGTTCTTTACAAAAAAAGAAGGAAAAGTCCACAAAAAATAATCATTTTTTCTTTAAATAAATAACAATAAACCATACCAATTTTTTTGTAAAAAATTTACCAAATGGAATTATTATTTTTTATTTAAAAATTTTCTTTATTAATGGTTAGTCTGTTCATTTTCTTTACTAATGGTTTTAATTGTACATTTGTTTCATTTTTTGACCAATATTTTTTTCAAACTTTTTAGCATTTCTTTTCTTTAAAATGTAATATATAATAGAGATGGTAATAACAGCAATAAATGCAACACAACCTATTATAATACCTGCTAATTTAGCACCACTTAATTTTGATTTGTTTGAACATATTGACGATGCTTTGTATGAATCGATGAGAATTGAAAAATCAGGGTCGATAATTGCTGATTCTTTATAGTATGGAATTTGAATACCTATATATGATTGTAATGATTTTGATGATGTAATTGGATTCATATCTTTATCTAATAAAATATTCGAAATTGTTCTAATTGTTGAATCGATAATACCTCTTCTGATAAATCTACCATATAACGAATAGTTGTCGACTTGAATCTTTAAATAGTTTGAATTATCACCATTTGTAGTTTCTCCAAATTCTTTTGCAGAACAAATATCGTCGGTTGTGTTTGATTGCATTGATGCTGACATTATTAGTTCTAAGTGATTAAGTGAATTTTCGAATGGATAGTTTGATATTTTGATTGTGTATTTAAGTGTTGATGGGTTCATTAATAATTGTTCTTGAGCAAATGAAATTGTTGTTTGATTTTTGAACCATTTCAAAGTTACTGTAATATTTGTAGTTGCATCTGTTGTTGATTTTGTAAACTCTTTGTAAAAAATTAATTTTGAATCATCAATTTGTTTTGATAGCCAATCATCTTTGAATGTTATTGTTTTTACAACTTCATTTTGAATATTTATTTCTCTGAGTGATACAATGGAAATCAAAGAGTGATAGGTTATTGGTGTTGTGTTATTATTTCCATTGGTATTGTTTTTATCAGGTACAACAATATCGATTGATGGAGAAGTCGAGTTATTGCTTCCGTTATTAAATATTGGTGGATCAATGATTACAATTTGAGATTGACAATCGATACCGACCCATGGTGAATAACAAACACATCCTTGATTATCGATACATTTTCCATTTGTTGGACCACCACATGTTGGGTTACCTTTGCATTGTTGTGGTTTATTGGTTGGTACTGGTGTGACTGTTGGTGGGAATGTTGGTTCTGGATCGCCATGAATATAATAGTCGAAAACTACTGGTGTAACTGTAATTGTATTTGAATTTATATTTGATGATTTAATATATATTTGATAATGGTCTTTTGTTGCTTTGACATTTGGAATTTTAACAGCTGTACTAGAGATAAAATCGGTTTTAATTTTAGATACTGAGCCATCTTTAAAAGTAATATATGCTTCGGAATCAATACTGAACTTTCTACCATTTAAAATTAAGTTGCCTCCTCTTTCAGTTATCAATTGATGTTGTATTATTAAAGGTTGGTCGGATGAAAAGGTTACTGCAATTGAGCTTGTATGGTTCAAGCTTAAAGTATTTGATGAAAAACCACCAAAAATACCATTGTTATTAACAAAACCATAAACTGAAAGAAGAATCATGTTTGGATAAGAATAGCCAAATCCAACTGGTAATTGAATTGTACATGAATAAGTTGCATTGGTTTCAGTAATTTCGATAATACTTGATTTGCATTCAATAGATCTGGAGGTTGTATCTGTAAGATAAACAATTGGATATTGATTTGCTTTTAGACCACTTTCTAAATCTTCTGCAACAAAAGTAAATGTAACACTTCTATCTAATGCACTGACATCAATCGTTGTTTTTGATGGAATGAATGATTTTAACACTGGAGCAGTAGTATCAGTTGAGGCAGATGGATGATTGGAACATTGAACTTGAATCTTATTTATATTTGGATTATTTAAAAAATATAAAAAGGGGTTTGATATTGATGAAAAAATTGTATTATAAGGAAGTATTGAAAAATCAGATTTTCTATTTACGTTGTCAAATAATACAACATCACTGATTATATATTGTTGAGAAATACATGGATATGTAAGATTGAATTTGAAATCATATTCTCCTAAAAATTTATTTCCACCATTTTTAACATTATTGAATGAAACTGAAATGTTGTATATTGATTGATCTATTTCACCTTTGATAACTACAAAACCATCTCTAAAGCCATTAATTGGGTCTTCGATAGCCATAGTCCAACCAATTTCGGCAAACTTATTTGTATTATTGATTTCATTACTTGTTATTTTTTTAATTTGTTTAAATATTGGGCCTTGTAAATCCATATCTATTTAAAAAACAAAACATTTATTAATATTACTATTTTTTAATGCTAAACTACTTATTTTGATATGCTTACTTGATTTTTTAACTCTTAGCTGAGTATCGAGAACATTGCTGTGTAAAGTATTTGTACTGAATGAGAATGGCCAATCACCCACTTGGGTATTTGCTTCAACAAAAAACTCTATTTGAAACATTTGAATGTTGTAATTATATGTTGAATGGAACATTTGAATATTTTCAAGAGATTGTTCATTTCCTATATTGGAATTATACGAGTAATCTTCTACAGTTATAGAAAAAATGTAATCTCTTGGGACTCCATTAAAACTAAAGTACAATACATTGTAATGTCTGTGATTTGTAACATCAATGTCATTATATAAAAAGGATACGTTTTCTATTGAAAAGAGATTAACTGTAAAAATAAATTAGTATTATATTATAATATATTTATTATTAATAAAATAATAATATGTTACTTTGTAAATTTAAAGGATGTATAAACATGTGAAAGTCTGGATTAAACGATATAAATTGATTATTAAATTCTTTAGATCCACCATAAATATCATAAAAATAAAAGACAGGTCCAGATGATGCACGTAGAGGAATTTCATATTCGCCTTGAAACTCGTTACCTGATACTAATGTTTCATAACCAAAAATATTCTCTTGTGCTATAAATGAAAATCCATATGGTATGTTGGCTTTAATCTTGAATAAATATACATCTTGGGTTAAAAAAGATGCTTCGATACTAATAATCTCTGGCAATTTTAATTTGTCATAGCTCTCTATTAAAGAATGAATTAGTATTATTGTGCAGTTGATATTTTATTGTAATAAAAGTTAATGTTATACCTATACGTGGGATTGAGGATAGTGTTGTATCTCCATAGATTATGGGAGAAACAGATAGTGAGGAATCATATGAAATTGGTCTAGTATAAAAAGTAAAATCAAAAGAATAACCATCCTTATTTCCAAATGTGTAACCCAAAGGATAATTAACATTGTTTGACATGTCACCTACAACAATCCGTAATGGTTGCAAATCAAGAGTAGTATCTGAAATTAGGAGTGATCCCACTGGAATCATACTGTTAAAAATAAAATTTCCATTTGGTAAAGGACTAATTCGATCTATTGAATTTCATAAAAAAAATAATAATTGAGATTCATTTAATATTAATAGTTATATTAATTGAAAAGAAAATATTAATTTTACATACAATTATAGATATTTGTTTTGATAGTTGTATTTGATTGTTTAAATTTAAAACCATTTAAGTAATAAATTTCATAATCTACATATCCATTGTATGTTTCCATTGGAAATATATATTCTGTGCTATTTTCGTTTCCATATATAGGATGATAAAACCCGTTAGATTTACCGATAAAATCTACTGAAAATGGAGCTTTAAAAATAGTATTGTTTGATTTAAATGATATTAATGCAGAAGCACCATAGCCCATCAAAACCAAATCATCTAAATTCTTTTGATCTGGGTATGTTTTAATATCATAAATAAAATCATATACATCTATCAATAATAATATTATTTTAATTAGAAATAAATTTTAAAAATTATTATTATTATTATAATAATAAACACTTACTTTCGCTTACTGGCCCAATATCGAAAATCTTATAATTATTACCAACTGAAATTTTAATATTTAATTTCGAAAAATCAAAATCACTTGAAGGAGGTGCTTCAGGTTGAACCGAAAAAAAATTCCCTCCACTGTGATTAATAGTGCAAGAAATGTTAACACACGATACATCCATTCCATCCATTGGTACTTTATCTGGGTTATCGAAAATCAATTGAAAATAACATAACGGGACCAATGCAAAACTTAAAGGTTTCAAAACATTGGTGAATGTTTTTATTTTTTTAAATTCTACAGTATCTAAATCTAAATCTGAATTTTGATATTATGTTTTAATATGTATTTTAAAAACCCAATTTTTAAAAAAAAAAAAAAACTTTAATATAAAAATAAGAAAATAAATAATTATAAATAAATAAAAGTTTACTTACTATAGCATTTAAGTTCTAAAGGAAAAACTCCATTGATTGTATTTTGGTAAGTTCCAACTAAAGTTCGAAATAGACAATCGAATACTGCTGCTGTATCGTTTTTTAAATTTTGTGAACAATCCCTCATAATTTGGCTATTTGGGTTATTTGGAAATGTCAATTGGTCACAATTTTCGCCAACTTCAGTAGCAACACATAGAAATTGCATTTGAAAAAAACAATTCGAACTTCTTGCAAACTGTTTATTGTTTTCGCTTTCTAGTGAGATATTTTTAATATAATAACTTTCTGAATTGCCAAATAAAAAAAAAAAGTACAATAAAAAATAAAAGATAAAATAATTGATTCTCATTTTTTGTATTCTTTTTATATTTATATTTTTTAAAATTTATAACCACAAAATTTTTTAACAACCAAAAAAAAAATAAAAAAAATAAAAAAAATAAAAAAAATTAAAAAAATTTCTAAAAAATCTAAAAAATATCTTAAACCGGTATTGACTCTTTTATCTTTTAAGAACATCACATACAACATCTTAAATGTGACAACTCCATAATTTGAGAAGAAATGTTTTATTGAAAAAAAGTTATAATGTGTGTTTGTGCTGTTATTTAGATCTAAATGTATAAAAATGGATAATGCTATTATCAATTAAAGAAAAAAGTAATAATTTAATTTGATTTTTTATATTTTTAAATATAAAAATTTTTTAAAAAAAAAACAATTCAACTTTAAAAAATCAAAAAAATTATATCTTCAAAATATCAAAAAACTATAAAAATAAAATTATTATCAAATTTTTTGTTTATTTTTATTTTTATTATTTTATTTAATTATTCTAATAGTTTTATGTTATATGTCTTCTTTAATTAGTAAACCTTTGCTCCATAATCCTTTTTTGATAATTTCGATATTATTATTGTCATTAATTATTTTTAATTCACCAAAACCTTCAGGTAAACCATTTTCAAATTCGCCATTATAAATTGAGTTATTTAATTTATTTTTGATTATACCTTTACCAAATAAAACACTATTATCTTCGTTGGCATTATCAGTGTCTTTTATAATTTCTTTAAAATCGGCTTCAATTTCTAATTGATCATTTTTTATTGAACCTTTACCAATACGTAAACCTCTTAACCAGTTTCCTTTGAATGATGAGCCATCTGCATAAGTTACTTGACCCTCACCATCTCTTTTGCCTTCGACGAAATGACCAATATAGTGTTCACCATTCTCTAAAAACTCTTCGCCTTGGCCATGTGGCACAAATGTTCGTGAGTCGATTTCACCTTTATAAATGTTGAGTTTATTGCTATCGTTATCGATTTTATTTGTAATGGTTGCATTTTTTATAGAACCTCTTGACCAATCGCCTTCACAGCACCAACTTTCTGTATACACTTTGCCGTGACCACAAATGACACCACCTTCCCAGTTATCATTTTCTATTATTTGTTCTTCTACAAAAACCTCTTCATCGAGTTCGCTGTTATATTTTTTGGTAACTTTTAAAAATTTACCTTTACCTGATATATCACCATCTTTAAAACCACCATAATAAACTGAACCATCTGGGAATTTTAATTTGCCATTACCGTTCCATTTTTCATTTGCCCATTCGCCGTAATACTCTAGACCAGCCATCATTTTAATTTCGTGACCAAATACTAGATGATCATGTTCCCAAATGCCTTTAATTTCGGTTTCTGAATTACTTATTGAACCTAATCCATGTCTTTCGTTTGCAACCCAACTGCCTTTAAATGATAGCCCAGCTTGTGGGTTTATAAAAGTACCTTCACCCCAATGCATATCTTCTTTCCACTTTCCTTCGTAGGAACAACCACCAGTGGTAGAAAATAAACGACCAGAGCCTTCTTTTTTTCCATTTACAAATTCACCAATATATATATCACCATTTCTTAACTCTAATTCACCGAATCCATGTGGAATACCCTTATCAGTTACCTGTCCTTCATAAACACTCCCTGATTTTGAATGAATAGATGCTCTTAACCCATCTCCTGAAATAAATTCCACTTCTTTATCGTCTATATATACACCGCTTTCTTTTTCTTGATAAATTTGAAAGGGAAATTTAATACCATCTATTGCAGTCTTATACTCAATCGATTTTGGTGTGTTTAAAAATGAATATTTTTCCTCTTGTTCTAAATCCTTAAAAAACTTTTCTTTTTCTATTTTTATATTTGGTAAATTATTTATATAATCTTTAAATATATTATTTTTATTATTATTATAAATGTTTGAATGATTAAAATTATTATTATTATTTATTGTACAAAAATTATTTTTAAAATATTTATTATTAAAATTTATTATATTGTTATAGTTTATATTATTTTTAAATATTAGTTTATTTTTATATATTAAATTAACATTTTTAAATTTAATTATATTATTTATCATTTTATTTGATTTCGTTTCTGTGTCGTAAAATAAAAAAATAATTTTAAAATAAAAAAAAAAAAAGTTTTTTTATTTTTTAATTTTTTTTATTTTTTTAATTTAAAATATGGTTTTTTTATATTTTATTAATTTTTTTTTTTTTTATATATATACCCGTTATAAGTTATATTTGAATCACCACAAGCATGTTTAATGTCATTTAATTGATTAGAATTTGGATGGTTAATTGATCCAAATGGATTATTAAATGTGCTTGGTTGGGTGATGGGTTGTGTATTTGTAGGTTTATATGTAGGTGTATTTGTTGGTGTTGGAGTAATAGGATTACTATTATTATGAACTGTCTTTCCGTTACAAGTTTTGCATGTGCAAATTCTTGGTATTATTATTATTTAATTTCAAAAAAATCTTTGAAATAAAAATTCTTGCACCAATTCTTTTTTTGAAAATGTAATAAATAATAGAGATGGTAATAACAGCAATAAATGCAACACCACCTATTATAATACCTGCTAATTTAGCACCACTCAATTTTGATTGGTTTGAACATATTGAGTTTGATACTGATGATGCTTTGTATGAATCGATGAGAATTGAAAAATCAGGGTCGATAATTGCTGATTCTTTATAGTATGGAATTTGAATACCTATATATGATTGTAATGATTTTGATGATGTAATTGGATTCATATCTTTATCTAATAAAATATTCGAAATTGTTCTAATTGTTGAATCGATAATACCTCTTCTGATAAATCTACCATATAACGAATAGTTGTCGACTTGAATCTTTAAATAGTTTGAATTATCACCATTGGTAGTTTCTCCAAATTCTTTTGCGGAGCAAATATCATCGGTTGTGTTTGATTGCATTGATGCTGACATTATTAGTTCTAAGTGGTTAAGTGAATTTTCGAATGGATAGTTTGATATTTCGATTGTGTATTTAAGTGTTGATGGGTTCATTAATAATTGTTCTTGAGCAAATGAAATTGTTGTTTGATTTTTGAACCATTTCAAAGTTACTGTAATATTTGTAGTTGCATCTGTTGTTGATTTTGTAAATTCTTTATAAAAAAGTATTGTTGAATCATCAATTTGTTTTGATAGCCAATCATCTTTGAATGTTATTGTTTTTACAACTTCATTTTGAATATTTATTTCTCTAAGTGATATAATCGAAATCAAAGAGTGATAGGTTATTGGTGTTGTGTTATTATTTCCATTGGTATTGTTTTTATCAGGTACAACAATATCGATTGATGGAGAAGTCGAGTTATCGCTTCCGTTATTAAAGATTGGTGGATCAACGATTACAATTTGAGATTGACAATCGATACCGACCCATGGTGAATAACAAACACATCCTTGATTATCGATACATTTTCCATTTGTTGGACCACCACATGCTGGGTTACCTTTGCATTGTTGTGGTTTGTTGGTTGGTACTGGTGTGACTGTTGGCGGGAATGTTGGTTCTGGATCGCCATGAATATAATAGTCGAAAACTACTGGTGTAACTGTAATTGTATTTGAATTTATATTTGATGATTTAATATATATTTGATAATGGTCTTTTGTTGCTTTGACATTTGGAATTTTAACAGCTGTACTAGAGATAAAATCGGTTTTAATTTTAGATACTGATCCATCTTTAAAAGTAATATATGCTTCGGAATCAATACTGAACTTTCTACCATTTAAAATTAAGTTGCCTCCTCTTTCAGTTATCAATTGATGTTGTATTATTAAAGGTTGGTCGGATGAAAAGGTTACTGTAATTGAGCTTGTATGGTTCAAGCTTAAAGTATTTGATGAAAAACCTCCAAAAATACCATTGTTATTAACAAAACCATAAACTGAAAGAAGAATCATGTTTGGATAAGAATAGCCAAATCCAACTGGTAATTGAATTGTACATGAATAAGTTGCATTGGTTTCAGTAATTTCGATAATACTTGATTTACATTCAATAGATCTGGAGGTTGTATCTGTAAGATAAACAATTGGATATTGATTTGCTTTTAGACCACTTTCCAAATCTTCTGCAACAAAAGTAAATGTAACACTTCTATCTAATGCACTGACATCAATCGTTGTTTTTGATGGAATGAATGATTTTAACACTGGAGCAGTAGTATCAGTTGAGGCAGATGGATGATTGGTACATTGAACTTGAATCTTATTTATATTTGGATTATTTAAAAAATATAAAAAGGGGTTTGATATTGCTGAATAAATTGGATTATAAGGAAGTATTGAAAATTCAGATTTTCTATTTACACTATCAATTAATAAAACATCACTGATTATGTATTGTTGAGAAATACATGGATATGTAAGATTGAATTTGAAATCATATTCTCCTAAAAATTTATTTCCACCATTTTTAACATTATTGAATGAAACTGAAATGTTGTATATTGATTGATCTATTTCACCTTTGATAACTACAAAACCATCTCTAAAGCCATTAATTGGGTCTTCGATAGCCATAGTCCAACCAATTTCGGCAATCTTATTTGTATTATTGATTTCATTACTTGTTATTTTTTTAATTTCTTTAAATACTGGACCTTGTAAATCCATATCTATTTAAAAAATAAAAAACTTATTAATATTACTATTTTTTAATGCTAAACTACTTAATTTGATATGCTTACTTGATTTTTTAACTCTTAGCTGAGTATCGAGAACATTGCTGTGTAAAGTAACGTATTCTGTATTAAATATGAATGGCCAATCACCAACTTGAGTGTTTGCATCAACAAAAAACTCTATTTGAAACATTTGAATGGTGTAATTATATGTTGAATGGAACATTTGAGTTTTATCAAGAGATTGTTCATTTTCTATATTGGAATTATACGAGTAATCTTCAACAATTATAGAAAAAATGTAATCTCTTAGGACTCCATTTAAACTAAAGTACAATACATTATAATGTCTGTGATTTGTAACATCAATGTCATTATATAAAAAGGATATGTTTTCTATTGAAAAGAGATTAACTGTAAAAATAAATTAGTATTAAATTATAATATATTTATTATTAATAAAATAATAATATGTTACTTTTTAAATTTAATGGATGTATAAACATGTGAAAGTCTGGACTTAACGATATAAATTGATTATCAAAAATTCCCGATCCACCATAAATATCATAAAAATAAAATGGTAATAGTAATGATGCACGTAGAGGAATTTCAAATTCGCCTTGAAACTCGTTACCTGATACTAATGTTTCATAACCAAAAAAAATATTCTCTTGTTTTATATATGAAAATCCATATGGTATGTTGGCTTTAATCTTGAATAAATAAACATCTTGGGTTAAAAAAATTGCTTCGACACTACCAACCTCTGGCAGTTTTAATTCGTCATAGCTCTCTATTAAAGAATGAATTAGTATTATTGCACAGTTGTTATTTTATTATAATAAAAGTTAATGTTATACCTATTCTTGGGATTGAGGATTGCGTTATAGCCCCACTGATTATGGGAGAAACAGATAGTGAAGAATCATATGAAATTGGTCTAGTATAAAAAGTAAAATCAAAAGAATAATCATCCTTTTTTCCAAGTGTGTAACCCAAAGGATAATTGACAATGCTTGATATGTCACCCACAGTAATTTTTAATGGTTGCAAATTAAGACTAGTATCTGAAATTAGGAGTGATCCCACTGGAATATTTGTACTGTTAAAAACAAATTCTCCTTTTGGTAAAAACCTAATTGGATCTATTGAATTTCATAAAAAAAATAATAATTGAAATTTATTTAATATTAATAGTTACAATATTTGAAAAGAAAATATTAATTTTACATACAATTATTGATATTTGTTGTGATAGTTGTGTTTGATTGTTTAAAATTAAAACCATTTAGGTAATAAATTTCATAATCTGCTTTTGCATTGTAAATTTCCATTGGAAATATATATTCTGTGCTATTTTCGTTACCATATATAGGATGATAAAACCCGTTAGATTTACCGCTAAAATCTACTGAAAATGGAGCTTTAAAAATAGTATTATTTGATTTAAATGATATTAATGCAGAAGCACCATAGCCCATCAAAACCAAATCATCTAAATTCTTTTGATCTGGGTATGTTTTAATATCATAAATAAAATCATACACATCTATCAATAATAATAGTATTTTAATTAGAAATAAATTTTAAAAATTATTATTTAATAATAAACACTTACTTTCACTTACTGGCCCAATATCGAAAATCCTATAATTTCCACCGACCGAAATTTTAATATTTAATTTCGTAAAATCAAAATCACTTGAGGGTGCTTCAGGTTGAACGGAAAAAAAATTTCCTCCACTATGATTAATAGTGCAAGAAATGTCAACACACGATACATCCATTCCGTCCAGTGGTACTTTATCTGGGTTATCGAAAATCAATTGAAAATAACATGACGGGACTAATGCAAAACTTAAAGGTTTCAAAACATTGATAAATTTTTTTATTATTTTAAATTCTACAGTATCTAAATCTAAAGCTGAGTTTTGATATTATGTTTTAATATTAATATGTATTTTAAAAAAAATTTAAAAAACCCAATTTTAAAAAAAAAAAAAATTTTAATATAAAAATAATTATAAATAAATAAAAGTTTTCTTACTATAGCATTTAAGTTCTAAAGGAAAAACTCCATTGATTGTATTTTGGTAAGTTCCAACTAAAGTTCGAAATAGACAATCGAATACTGCTGCTGTATCGTTTTTTAAATTTTGTGAATATGCAACAACTTGGTTATTTGAGTTATTTGTAAATATTAATTGGTCACAATTTTCGCCAACTTCAGTGGCAACACATAAAAATTGTATTTGAAAAAAACAACCCGAACCTCTTGCAAACTGTTTATAGTTTTCGCTTTTTAGTGAGATATCTTTAATATAATAACTTTGGCCTTTGTCAATTAAAGTGAAAAAATAAAACATTAAAAAAATTTTAAAATATTTTATTCTCATTTTTTATATTTTTTTATATCAAGAAATAAAAATTTGTGTATCACTTTTTATATTTAAAAAAAAAAAAAAATTTTCATTTTTTAATTTTTTTTTATCGAAACACCCCCTTAAACTTTAGCAAAAAAAATTAAAAAAATTAAAAAAAAAAAAAAAAAAATTCATTTTTAAACATAATTATAATTTTTTCTAATACTCACATATAAATTGTTAATTTAAAAGAGTAATCATTTATAGCTCCTATTTTTAGATAATATTCTATATTTTTAAAAATTCATGCTATAAAAAGAGAAAAATATATCCAAGATAGAGATTAAAAATTTATCGTTAACGTTTTCTGTTAAGAATATAACAGACACATCAAATTTGATGATTCCATTCTTTGAGAAGGAGACAAGACTCACCAGTAGGTTTTGTGAAGTTTTTCGAAAAAATTAAAAAATAAAAAAATTAAAAATTAAAAAAAGCCTATTTTAAAATTAATCAAAAAAAATTTAAAAAAAAATTAAAAAGAAAAAATTAAAAAAGAAAAAAAAATTTGTAAAAAAAAATTAAAAGAAAGGCTAAAAAGAAAGAAATTATGATATGTGTTTGTGCTGTTATTTTAGATCTATTTTTAATTTTTTTATAAAATGAAAAAATAATGATAATTTTTAATCACTAATGAAAGATTTTATTTTTAATTGAATGAATAATATTAATTGATACAAAAAATACTTAAGTATATGGTTAAATAATGAAAGTATAGGCTAGATAATTATAAAATATTTATTTTAATAGATATAAATCTTTGAAAACTCGTAAGTTTTAAAAATAAAATTAAAAATAAAAAATAAGTATTAATATTGTTGTTATGATAACCACTCCCCACAACCACTACTTCCACCACAGAAATGTGAAAATAAAAATTGACTCTAAATTTAGCAAATTTTATAATTATTTTTTGTTTAAAATATCATTAGATTTATCTGAATACTAATTTAAAAAATAAAATTTTATTTAATTTGTTATTATATTAAAAATAAAATAAAATAGTTTATTTAATTAACATTTTTTTTTTAAATTTGTTCAATTTATAAATTAAATTGAATTTTCATATTAATATTTAATAAACTCGCTAACACTTTCAAAAGAAAAAAAAAAATGAAATTTAAAATTAATTTTTTATATATGGTATATTTTTTAATGGTTATAGCAATTAATATTCAAATGGGTCAAGGCGAAAGTAGTATATGTAAAAAAGCTGGCCCTTATTTGGTAGAACACGAATGTGATTGCAAATTATATTACAACTGTGGAGGTAAAGACAGCAAAGAGTTATTAAAAAAGTGTCCTTTTGGTCTCCATTTCAATAAAGAGCTATTACTTTGTGATGATCCAAAGAGATCAGGTTGTAAGCTTGATGGATGTAATAAGAAAAATAATGAAATAATTTCAATTAGAATCCCAAATCTAGAAAATATAATCCATTAAAAAACAAAAATAAAAAACAATAAAGATCAAATTAAAAAAGTAAAAACTTTGTTTTTCCACACCACTTTTTTTTTAAAATAACACAGTGAAATATAAAAAATAAAAAATGATTAAAAGAAGAAAATATTTATTATTTATAATTTATAATTTTTCATATTTTTAAATGTAAATAAATTGAAATTCTTCCCAACTATTTACTTGCTTTACATTTGTTTTAACTTCACCTCTATCAGTTGCACTTAAGTAGTTACCAGTTTTAGCATTTTGAATTGAATATACACCTTGTCTACGTTCCTGAATCCTCCAAAGAGATGAGTCATTTCTTTCAGATGATAAAACTCTATCATTACCTTGGGAACTTAAATAATGGTTAAAGTGGTTATGAATATAATATGTACCATTGTTTGCAGCGGTAATTGTCCATGTTTCATTTCCTCTAGCAGTTTGGGACAAATCAGCTACACTTTGATTATCACGAATATAACTATTGTGTTTAATTGATTTTATATTGACCTGTTTATCTGCAAGTTGTGATTGCTGTTGTTCACGACGTTGTGGTTGTTCACGATGTTCTGGTTGTCTATCATTATAATCGTTTTCATCATTTATATTCATATTTTGGAAAGATTGATTATTTCTATTATCATCATGATATTGTTGTTGTTGTTGTTGTCTATTATTGCTATTGTTATTGTTATTGCTATTATTGTTTGTATTTCTATTATTATTACTATTACCATTTAATCTTGGATTATATACAGCAACATAGTCAACTTGCATATCATAGATGGTATTACCCTCCCACTGTTATTATAATTATAAATATTTGAACGATTAATTATAATTATAAAATATTAAAAACTTACAGCTGTAAATATACAGTCAAAACCTTGATTTGTAATATTAGTTGCAATAGTTCTAACTCTGGTTGCATTTTCTGATATTGATGAATCAAAAAAATTGATTCCGAGTGAAACTTTTGGTGTACCACTAAATGGAACATCAAAATTTACCTTTTTAACTGATCTTTTTTCACCATATTGCCCATTGTTTAACGATCTATCTCCAAGTACTATGGAACCAATATTAATTTCTATATTTTGAAATGACATATTTTTTTATAATAAACTAAAAAATTAGTATTTTTATTTAAAAATTAATTAATAAAACTTTTAAATAAAAAAGTTTAAATATTTTTTTTAATACATTTTATAATATTTTTTAATTATTATTTAATTAGTTTTATATCTATTTTATTTTATTATAATATATAGCAATGAGTATGTATATTAAATGATGATTAATCATTCTTTATAAATATCTAATTATTATTTAATTATGATGTCATTGTAAAATATAATGAAACCAATTAATTAAAAGAGATCTAAAAAATAAATAATTTTTTTTTTTTTTTTATATTCTACAAAAATTTAAATATAATTCTTTTATTTATTATATTTAAAAAAACTATTTATTTATTTTACAATTAATTACATTTTATATTTTTTAAAAAAAAAAATTTTTTTTTAAAAACTATATATAACTTTTTTTAAACCAACCATAAATTCATTATATTCTTCTATTGTCATTTTTTTTTTTGATTTCTTCTCTAATAGTTTTTTATTTGATATCGAGGAGGATGAAGTTTTTAAAGAATTAAAAATACCACTACCTGATTATTTATAAAAAAATGGAAATGAATAACAAAAAATTTTTTATAAACTAAATTTTAATTTAATACATACTATTTAACATTATTTTATTTCTACCTTTACCTTTTCAAAAATAAAAAGTTTTTTATTACTTTGATATAGCATATAATAAATAAGCATTAGGTGATAAAAAAATAATTTTATATTTTTTAAAAAAAAAAAAAAAAAAAAAAAAAAATTTTTTTTTAAATTAATTAAATGATTCCTATTAGTAGTTTATTCCAATTTTTAATTAAAAGAATAAATAAATTTATTATACCAAATTATTTATTATATATCTAACCCCACCCCCTTTCTCACACAAACTAAGCAATATTGTTATTAACACCACCAAAAAATTATACACCCCAAATCCATTATTTTTTGTTTTTTATTGTTTTTTTTTGTATTCCCAAGTATAATATTATCTTTTTTTGAATTTTGAAGATAATTTAAATAAGTTTTCAATTTATCAAGTAATTTTTTTATTCCAAAATGATTTTTATTTTTATTAAGTTATTTTATTTAACAAAATTAATTTTAAAAAAAATCTTTTAAATTCCAACACTAAAACAAAGAGAATTAAACTTTGTATTTTTTTATATTCTCAAACAATTTTAAATATATACATCATTACAGTTATAAAAATTAAAAATTGTTTACGTCATTAAAATTGGATAAAACAAGAAAATTAATATTAAAAAATTAAATAAAAATTTCTTATTATTTTAATGAATATCTTTAAAAAATAATTAAAAAAAATTTTAAAACTTAAACTTGATACAAAGTATTTATAAATTATCTTTATTTGCATCATTCATTTGTTTCATTTTTTGACCAATATTTTTTTCAAACTTTTTAGCATTTCTTTTCTTTAAAATGTGATATATAATAGAGATGCTAATAACAGCAATAAATGCAACACAACCTATTATAATACCTGCTAATTTAGCACCACTTAATTTTGATTGGTTTGAACATATTGACGATGCTTTGTTTGAATCGATGAGAATTGAAAAATCAGGGTCGATAATTGCTGATTCTTTATAGTATGGAATTTGAATACCTATATATGATTGTAATGATTTTGATGATGTAATTGGATTCATATCTTTATCTAATAAAATATTCGAAATTGTTCTAATTGTTGAATCGATAATACCTCTTCTGATAAATCTACCATATAACGAATAGTTGTCGACTTGGATCTTTAAATAGTTTGAATTATCACCATTGGTAGTTTCTCCAAATTCTTTTGCAGAACAAATATCATCGGTTGTGTTTGATTGCATTGATGCTGACATTATTAGTTCTAAGTGGTTAAGTGAATTTTCGAATGGATAGTTTGATATTTCGATTGTGTATTTAAGTGTTGATGGGTTCATTAATAATTGTTCTTGAGCAAATGAAATTGTTGTTTGATTTTTGAACCATTTCAAAGTTACTGTAATATTTGTAGTTGCATCTGTTGTTGATTTTGTAAACTCTTTGTAAAAAATTAATGTTGAATCATCAATTTGTTTTGATAGCCAATCATCTTTGAATGTTATTGTGTTTACAACTTCATTTTGAATATTTATTTCTCTAAGTGATACAATCGAAATCAAAGAGTGATAGGTTATTGGTGTTGTGTTATTATTTCCATTGGTATTATTTTTATCAGGTACAACAATATCGATTGATGGAGAAGTCGAGTTATTGCTTCCGTTATTAAAGATTGGTGGATCAATGATTACAATTTGAGATTGACAATCGATACCGACCCATGGTGAATAACAAACACATCCTTGATTAGCGATACATTTTCCATTTGTTGGACCACCACATGTTGGGTTACCTTTGCATTGTTGTGGTTTATTGGTTGGTACTGGTGTGACTGTTGGTGGGAATGTTGGTTCTGGATCGCCATGAAGATAATAGTCGTAAACTATTGGTGTAACTGTAATTGTATTTGAATTTATATTTGATGATTTAATATATATTTGATAAGGGTCTTTTGTTGCTTTAACATTTGGAATTTTAACAGTTGTGCTAGAGATAAAATCGGTTTTAATTTTAGATACTGAGCCATCTTTAAAAGTAATATATGCTTCGGAATCAATACTGAACTTTCTACCATTTAATATTAAATTGCCTCCTCTTTCGGTTATCAATTGATGTTGTATTATTAAAGGTTGGTCGGATGAAAAGGTTACTGTAATTGAGCTTGTATGGTTCAAGCTTAAAGTATTTGATGAAAAACCTCCAAAAATACCATTGTTATTAACAAAACCATAAACTGAAAGAAGAATAATGTTTGGATAAGAATAACCAAATCCAACTGGTAATTGAATTGTACATGAATAAGTTGCATTTGTTTCAGTAATTTCGATAATACTTGATTTACATTCAATAGATCTGGATGTTGTATCTGTAAGATAAACAATTGGATATTGATTTGCTTTTAGACCACTTTCCAAATCTTCTGCAACAAAAGTAAATGTAACACTTCTATCTAATGCACTGACATCAATCGTTGTTTTTGATGGAATGAATGATTTTAACACTGGAGCAGTAGTATCAGTTGAGGCAGATGGATGATTGGAACATTGAACTTGAATCTTATTTATATTCGAATCATTTAAAAAATATAAAAAGGGGTTTGGTATTGCTGAATAAATTGGAAGAATTGTAAAAACAGATTTTCTATTTACGTTGTCAAATAATACAACATCATTGATTATATATTGTTGAGAAATACATGGATATGTAAGATTGAATTTGAAATCATATTCTCCTAAAAATTTATTTCCACCATTTTTAACATTATTGAATGAAACTGAAATGTTGTATATTGATTGATCTATCTCACCTTTGATAACTACAAAACCATCTCTAAAGCCATTAATTGGGTCTTCGATAGCCATAGTCCAACCAATTTCAGCAAACTTATTTGTATTATTGATTTCATTACTTGTTATTTTTTTAATTTCTTTAAATACTGGACCATGTAAATCCATATCTATTTAAAAAACAAAACATTATTAATATTACTATTTTTTAATGATTAACTACTTAATTTGATATGCTTACTTGATTTTTTAACTCTTAGCTGAGTATCGAGAACATTGCTGTGTAAAGAATACGATTCTGTCATAAATGAGAATGGCCAATCACCCACTTGAGTGTTTGCATCAACAAAAAACTCTATTTGAAACATTTGAATGGTGTAGTTATATGTTGAATGGAATATTTGAAGTTTTTCAAGAGGTGATTCATTTCCTAAATTGGAATTATACGAGCAATCTCCAACAATTATAGAAAAAATATAATCTCTTGGGACTCCATTAAAGTTAAAGTACAATACATTGTAATGTCTGTGATTTGTAACATCAATGTCATTATATAAAAAGGATACGTTTCCTATTGAAAGGTAATTAACTGTAAAAATAAATTAGTATTATATTATAATATATTCATTATTAATAATACAATTTTAAGTTACTTTTTAAATTTAAAGGATGTATAAACATGTAAAAGTCTGGATTAAACGATATAATTTGATTATAAAATTCTGCCCATCCACCATAAATATCATAAAAATAAAATGATAAACGGTATGATGCATGTAAAGGAAATTCATATTCGCCTTGAAACTCGTTACCTGATACTAATGTTTCATAACCAAAAAAAATAGTCGCTAATTTTATAAATGAAAATCCATATGGTATGTTGACTTTAATCTTGAATAAATATACATCTTGGGTTAAAAAAGTTGCTTCAATATTACTAATCTTTGGCAATTTTAAATTATCATAGCCCTCTATTAAAGAATGAATTAGTATGATTGTACAGTTGTTACTTTATTATAGTAAAAGTTAATTTTTTACCTTCACTTGGGATCGAGGATGTCGTTGCAGGTCCATTGATTATGGAATTAGCAATTAGTGTAGGATCAATTGAAATTGGTCTAGTATAAAAAGCAAAATCAAAAGAATAACCATCCTTATTTCCAAATGTGTAACCAAAAGGATAATTGATATTGCTTATAATGACACCTACAGAAATTTGTAATGGTTGCAAATTAAGACTAGTATCTGAAAATTGGAAAGATCCCACTTGAATATTTTGATTGCTGTTGAAATTGTCAAAAATGAAATTTCCTTTTGGTAAATACCCAATTGGATCTATTCAATTTTTAAAAAAAATAAAAAAAATATTAATAGTTATAATAATTATACAAAATTTTTAATTTTACTTACCATTATTGATATATGTTTTGATAGTTGTGTTTGATTGTTTAAATTTAAAACCATTTAAGTAATAAATTTCATAATCTACATATTCATTGTAAGTTGTCATTGGATATAAATATTCTGTGTATTTTTCGTTGCCATATATAGGATGATAAATCACATTTAAAGGGACAAAAAATGGAGCTTTAAAAACAGTATTATTTGATTTAAATGATATTAAAGCTGTAGCACCATTACCCATCAAATTTAAACCATCTAAATTCTTTTGATCTGGGTATGTTTTAATATCATAAATAAAATCATACACATCTATTAATATTATTAATTTAATAATAGTATTTTCATTAGTATTTGAAATAAATATTAAATTATTATTATTATTATTATTATTATTTTATATTCATAATAAACACTTACTTTCACTTACTGGCCCAATTTCGAAAATCCTATTATTTTCACCGACTGATATTTTCACATTTAATTTCGAAAAATCAAAATCAATGGGAGGAGCTTCATTAATATGAAGGACAAACGAATTCCCACCATTATGAACAATAGTGCAAAAAATGCCAACACACAATCCGAATATTTTATCCAGCGGTACTTTATCTGGGTTATCGAAAATCAATTGAAAATAACATAATGGATATAAAAAAAAACTTAAAGGTTGCAAAACATTGAAAAATGGTTTTATCTTTTTCAATTCTATTGTTTCTAAATCTAAACCTATTTGAAATTAATATTTTTATTGTATTTGTATTTTTATAAAAAAATGAAAGAAAATGTAAAAAATTTAAAAAAAATAAATAAATATAAATAATCATTTTAATTATAAATATAGAATGATTACTTACTATAGCATTTAAGTTCTAAAGAAAAAACTCCATTTATCATATTTGTCATAGTTCCAATTATAGTTGCAAATTGACAAGTGAATACTGCTGCTGTATCGTTTTTTAAATTTTGTGAACATTTCCTCATTATTTGGTCATTTGAAAATGCTAATTGGTCACAATTATCGCCCACTTCAGTGGTAACACATAGAAATTGTATTTCAAAAGAACAATTCGTACCTCTTGCAAACTGTTTATAGTTTTCGCTTTCTAGTGAGATATCTTTAATATAATAACTTTCCGCATTGTCAATTAAAAAAAACAAGTACAATAAAAAATAAAAGATAAAATAATTTATTTTCATTTTCTATATATTTTATGTTTAAAAATTTGGTATTTTGAACAAAAAACAATCGAAAAAAATCGAATTTGTAAAAAAAAAAAAATATAAAAAAAATATAAATTTAAAAAAATTAAAAAAAAAACCCAATAAAAATCTTAAAAATATCAAAAATGCCTCTCGGCTCTGGTACCGGTGCCATTCCAATAAAAAATAAAAATAATTTTTTAAAAACCAAATCCTTCTAGTAAACTAAATACAATTCCATGCATTTACTGAAACCGCAGTTGGTCTATTTCTTGATAGAATATTATTTGGATGATATCTTTTACCTAATTCCGATTTATAAAAATTTCGTTTAAGTTTTATCTGCAAATAGAGAATAAAAATTATCATTATCCTCATTTTTTACAGATAATTATTATGTAAAAGTATAGAATGGGTTGGTCAAAAATTCATGATTAACTAGTTAATACAATCTAATATAGATTTTTTTTTTTTTTTTTTTAAAAGTGAAGATAATTAAAAGCAAATGCTTTAAATTATTCAGTAAATAAATATAGATAAAGCTACCTTAGTTATAAATATATTATTTAGTTGAGATATAAATGTTAAAAAATTCGTGTGATTGGAAAACTGTAATGTATTATCATCAAAATTCACTTAATTAATTAATTATAACTTAGTCATTTAATCAAACAATTATATAATAATTTTAATAATTAAAAATAATTTAATTTAAAAAAGTAAAAAAATAAAAAATAAAAAATAAAAAAATAAATAAAAAATTTTCGAATTTTTCGTTTTATTTCAATTTTCACATAAACTTAAAAATCATATAATTTATCTTTATTTTTATTTTTTATTAATTATTTATTTATACTTTATTTTTTTTTATTTTTTTTTTTTTTTAAAGTGAAGATAATTAAAAGCAAATGCTTTAAATTATTCTGTAAATTTTATTTATTGTTTTTAATGTAAATTTTTAGAGGATGTAATGTATTCATATGCATTTTAGAATTAAATGAATATTACAGTAATAATTATATCTCAACTAAATAATATATTTATATTTTCCTTTATTTTAAATAATTTATAACAAATGGTTACACTCCAAATCTACCAGTGGAATATCGGTGGCTGTGGTACCAAAGATACATACACTTTAAAAATGAAAACGGGTTAATACATTACCCAACAACAAAAACCATCCAACTATCACAATTCTCAATGAACTAAACGTAGTTTATTCGAAATTCCACGATGATCATAAAGGTTCACTAACAAATGTTAATGGAATGGGAACCGGCGTGGCCATCGTCAATCACAACCCAAACCTAATTAACATCAAACAAATAACTATTATCACTGGTAGCTACCATCGCAGATATAACAATATCATCAAATACTATAAGACTACTCACAATATATGCACCAGCAGATAAGAACCAAAGAAATGAATTTGCTGCCCAACTGCTTGATCTATATAATAGCCTATACAATTTTTTTTTTTTTAAAAGTGAAGATAATTAAAAACAAATGCTTTAAATTAATCTGTAAAATACCTATACAATAACACAAACATTAACAATTCGATACCACTACAAATCATCATTGGTGACTTCAATTGCGCTGATTACAAAGAGGCACAAACCATCCCGATAAGAATCTGAAGGAAGAAAGCCTAAGCTTATCAATAGAGTCTCTGGTTAACCTCAACAATCTGTACGATGTAGATTACCAGAAACATTTTCTCACACAGAAATGGTTATACTTTAAAAGTTCATTTACATTACAAAACCTGTGAGACTGGGGGAACCTTCCCAATCACACGAATTTCGTTGATTAATCTCCAGGAAGATTAATCTAAATTCCCAAAAAAAATAATGGTTCTACTGAGACTCGAACTCAGATTACGGGATTCAAAGTCCCGGGTGCTAACCAATTACACTATAAAACCTTTTATGATTACCTTAAAAATCAGTTACCCTATTGTCATTTTATTACAAAATTAAATTACTAAAAATTCTTTTAAAAATAAATAAATAAAAGTTGTGTTAACCTTTGCACCATTCTTATTGAAGGGGAAATCCAAAAATTCCTGGTTAGCAATTAATACAAAAAAATAGTCATTTTTTAATTTTTAAAAAAATAATTAAATTTTTAAAGTAAATTAATAAAAGTGGTGCCAACCTTTGCTCCATTTTATTTTAAGGGATAAGTTAAAATTCTTGATTAACAATTAATACAAAAAGTAATTTTTATTTAATTTAAATATTTGAAAATTTTCTTTTTTTATTTCTTTTTAATCTTTGCACCATCAAACTAAACAATTAAGAAAAATATCCTTGGTTAATGATATTTATTTAAAAGATTAACCAAAAGAAGGGGAATAATAAACAAAAACTTTATTCATCTGTGTTCTTTCAGATGAATTATAATTCTCAAATTTTTGAACATAATTTTATTATTAGATTTTAAAAAAATATAAATATTAAGGTATAATGCAAACAATAAAAAATTTTCCTTTTTTTTTTTAATTAAAAAAAAATAAAAATTAATTTAATTAATATTGTATTTAGTTTTTACACCATTATTTTTTTAATTTTTTACTCAATATCCTAAAAAAAATAAAGTTTACTGAAATTTTAGCTTAACATACAAGTTAAATAAAAATGGAGAATCATAATCACATCACCAGTCCATGGGTATTCAAAGAACCCCAATTTCACTTTTTTATCCTAAATTTTTAATTTTTGTTTAGCCTGAAAAAATAAAAAAAATATTAAAATATTAAAATAAAAAAAAATAAAAAAAAATTTTAAAAAAATTAAAAATAATTTTAATTTTTTTTTTTAAAATAAACTATAAAACGTAAAATAATTAAATAATTAATAACCATAAAAAAACAAATAAATAAATAACTAATAAATAATAAAAAACTAATAAATAACTAATAAACATAAAACCCTAATGAAAAAGATAATTATTCAAAAAGAGTATAATAAAAATGAAAAAGAAGAATTCGATAATAATTTTTCAGTTTTAAAACAAAATAAAATATTAACAAAAAATGAAAGCAACAAAAACAAATTATCGTGTATAAGCTGTTTTTCTGGGTTGAAATTTGGCCTATTCTTATATACATTCTTATTGGCAACCTTTACCATTGGTATTATTGGGGCAGTTGGTATTTCAGATCATAATGTATTTGTAAGTACAATAACATAGCATAAGTAAAAAAAAGGACACAACGAATACTAACATTATTGTAATGATTTAAAATTTTATAGGAAGATAGAAACTTTGTTAAATATCCATTAATGGTTGGGCTTGGTTTTGGATTGTTTTTTTTGTTTTTCTGTTTATCATTCATTAGAATTTTATCTAGTCCAATAACAACCTCATTAAAGGATTTTAGAAGAGGCACCAACCAGCCTCTAGATGAGCATATTGAGGGAATTAAACAAAGCTCGCTAGAATTATATGCAATGTGTGAATGCTTTCATACAACCAGTACCACTACAACCAATAGTGATGGCTCAACATCCACATTGACCTCAACAGTTGTAACATACTCTGAAGAAATTCAAATACCCATTGAGGAGTACAAAGATTTAACAAATCCTCTAACTATTGAAAATATAAATAATATTCTCGGTGATTCAAGCGGCAGAAAGAGAAAATATTTAAAGGTTTCATTCATTCGTAATTGGTACCCAACAGACCAAATATCACAAGAAGCTATAAAGTCATATTTAGACCATTTGACAATTAAAAATGAACACAGAGACAGCAGCTTTAGACTAGAGTTAGAACTAAGATTTGTAGATAAGAAATTTAAAGAACACTTACTATTCCCAATTAAATCATTCAGCAACAATATAGATATTATCGAAAAGGGACCATCCTACGAGAGTGAACTCCATGACTCACCCCCATTTTTATTCCGCTACGGATACTATATATTGTCATTACCTTTATTAATGTTTTTACCATACGAACTTTATTTTAATTCAAAAGTATATCGATCAAAATTTTCATTTGTCAAAACGATCAAAGTATCTACTTTCTGTCAAGAAAACCACAATGAAATTATTACAATACCGCAAATCAATCAATCAGATCATTACCAAACCCTAAATGACTGTTATAATTTAAACGAAAACCAACCATCCTCATCAATCTCGACACCAACCCAAATACAACAACAACAAGAAAAATCAATTATAATAGATAAAGACTATGAAAGTCAGCAACAAGAAAAACAAGAAGAAAAAGACCCAAAAGAAAAATCAATTTATAATATAGATAAATAAAAAACTTTTAAAAAAGGGCTCCTGTATATAAAGAAACATTTAAAAACTAAAAATAATAATAGGAATAATATGAATTACATTATGAATATAATAAAATAGTTTAATAAACCAAAGAAACTAATAAATTATAATAAAAGGATATTTTATATTTATTATCCAATAAATTTTATTTTAATAAAAAATATATTACTGGTTTTTTTTTTTTTTTTTTTTTTTTTTTTTACAAAAGTTGTTGTTTTTCGTTATTGTTATAATCTTGTTTAAATAAATAAATGTAACAAATGTTTAAAGCAACTAGAATAGTATTAAAGAAAAATGCTATAGAGAATGCAGCAAATCCACCAGATGTTAAAGATTGAGAATTGCTACCACCAGCTAAAGTTATATTGATTTCTACATCGGTACCACCAATCACTAAAACATGTTGATCTTGAACAAAGGTGAACGATAAAATAAGTACAGTAAAGTTAAAGAGTAAACCAATGATTGGGATGATTTGTAAAATTGTAAAAAGTTTTGAAAATTGTTTTTTGATTACCATTGAAATAAAAACCAAACTACCATAAAGACCCAATGATATAATTGATATAATTAATAAAATTAAATAAATTCTTTTTGGATAATATTCAACTTGATTTATGAAATCGATCTCTTCACTACCCTCTATAAGTGTATTAGGGAGTTTTGACCATGGTACTGATTTTGCAAATTTTTAGTTAAAATAATTCTTTTCATTATTTATTTAATTTAATTAATAAATACATACCATTGGTTGATACAATAAGAGGAATTAAAGTAAAAATAGTAAGTACTAATAATAGTGCCAATTTAGGTTGTGATTTTTTGGCCAAGTTGGTGTCATTTAGACCATAGTTGTTATTATTATTATTGTTGTCGTTGTAATTCATTATTTAGTTTTAAAAAATAAAAATAAGGGAAAAAGTTTTAAAAAAAAAATATAAAAAAAAAAAAAAGGGGAAAATTAAAAAAATATAAAAAAAAAAATAAAAATAGATATTTTTTTTAGGAAAAGGTTATTTGTACACAAAATTATATTAAATTTATTATGGTTACGCCATTTAATCCCACATTCCAATCTTTTTGGGAGTATTATTGGATCTTAGTTTACCAATTGAAGACCTTCTGCTTTCATCATCGTTATTATTTTTTGAATTCTTTGAATATGGATGGGATCTGAATAAATGATTGTTATTTTGGCTTGTTATAAAATTTTTTTGTTTTTTATTATTACTATTTAAAATATTATCTAATTGATTTTTTGTAGCCGCTGTAATCTCACCTTTTTTAACAGGATTGTTACTATTGTTATTTTGGTTTTTATTATTGTTATTATTGTTGTTATTGTTTTTATTATTTTTATTATTATTATTGTTGTTGTTGTTGTTATCTAATAAATGAAATGGTGAACTATTTTTTACATGTATATTTTGATTTGGGTCATTCGAAATTGATTTATTGCTATCCATTGTATATTTTGATAAAACATTTTCATTTTCGTTATCCTCTTCTTTATATTTATCTAAAAACGATGATCCTAATAACCATGAGTCAATTAAATTTGTAACATTGGATGAATGGGTAACAATTTCGATGGTTTGTTTTTTTTCTGTTTCATTATCTGTATCTTTTTGTTGCTTTATTTTGACTTTATTGTTATTACTATTATTTGAAACTTTATTATCCATACTCATCTTTTTCTTTTAATTTTATTTGTATATAACTAAATGAAATAAATTTGAAAATTTTAAAAGAAATTAAAAAAAAAATAAAAAAAAATAAAAAAAACGAAAAAATGATTTTTTTCATTTTTATTTTTTTTTTTAATTTCTTTTAAAATTTTTTGATTACATATTTAATAATTAATAATTAATAGTTAATAGTTATATTTATTCTCATTTATTATTATTTAATTATAATTTTTTTTTTTTTTTAAATTTTATTTTTTTCTTTTTTAAATTTGAAAAAAAAAAAATGTTATCGATAAATAAAAATTTTAAAATTTTAAAAAATAGTAATAATGTTATAATTAGTAGTTTTACAACATCAACACCAACACAAAATAATAATAATAATGTAAAAAGAAATAAATATATAAATGTTTTTAGATCAAAAATGTTTATTCCATTTCAAGATCAAAAAATGGAAACTGATTTAATCGAAAGTCAATTATTAATGCAAAAAGGTGGTTTAATTAGAAAATTAGCAGTTGGTTCATATTCAACATTACCATTCGCACAAAAAGCATTAGAAAATTTAATTAAAGTTATTGATGAGGAAATGGAGCAAGTTGGAGGCCAAAAGATGACAATGCCAAAAATGATACCAAAAGAGCTTTGGGATAAAACAGGAAGATGGGATGCATTCGGTAAAGATTTAATCAAATTAAAGGATAGAAGAGAAAACGAATATTGTATGGGACCAACACACGAAGAGGTAGTTACCAGTATTGTAGGAAATGAAAAATTACCATTCAATAACTTTCCAATTAAACTCTATCAAATCGGTGAAAAGTTTCGTGATGAAATAAGACCACGTTTTGGTTTGCTTAGAGGTAAAGAATTTTTAATGAAGGATATGTATTCATTCGATGTCACCAAAGAAGATGCTGAAAAGACCTATTATCAAGTTAAGCAAGCTTACCACAACATTTTAGATAGATTAGAATTACCATATGCATGCGTTGAGGCTGACTCTGGTAATATTGGTGGTAACATGTCACATGAATTTCAAGTAGTTACCAAAGCAGGTGAAGATAAACTTATCCATTGTTCAAACTGTGGCTATCATGCAAACATTGAAAAAGCTGTAGGTTTAAAGAGTAAAGAAAATATAAACGATACCTTTGATCCAATTTTTAATATTGTAAGAATCGAAACCAACCAAAAGAAAAACAATAAACATATTGCAATTGTTGTAAACGATAGTCAAGATACATTCAATCACTATTCCATTAAAAAACACTATAATAATATTAAATCAATCGAACCAATAACCAAAAACCAATATACAGACCTTTTATCCAAACATAACAGTAAAGAGAATGGCGAACTCAATTATCAAATATTTGTGGATACCAATGCCTCTAAACCATTTAGCAAAAATCAAGATGCGTTATTAGAACAAATAAAGAGTGAATTTTCAATTAACCTCAACAAGGATCACAAGATAATTGATAGCGATATTTTGATTGAAGCTAAAGAAGGCGATATTTGTGCTCAAGAATCATGCAATGGCTCATCAAAGCTTGGTATCAAAAAGGGTATCGAGGTAGGTCACATCTTTTATTTAGGAAACAAATACTCCTCCAGTTTTAATGCCACATCATGTAAAAATAATATTGTCAAGGATTTAGAAATGGGTTGTTTTGGTATTGGTGTATCACGTTTATTAGCAGCATCCGTAGAAGCTCTTTCAAAGAGTGGCAAAGAAATCGATGGTACTGTTACAAAAGATAAAATTACATTCCCAAAAGAAATCACACCATATCACATTATTATCGTACCAAAAAAAGAATCACTTCAAAAGGATGCAGAGGAAATTTCACAGCAACTACAACAACAAATCCCAGAATTGAAAGGACGTATCATTATAGATGATCGTCACGATGCTAATGTTGGTCATAAAATTTTTGAATCAAAATTTTTAGGAATACCATACCTTTTAGTTTTAAATATTGATAAATCAAAACAAACTAATTACAAAGTTGAATATGATTATGGTCAAATCAAAGAAGAAAACAATTATTTAAATCAACCAGATACTTTAGATTATTTTAAAAATAAATTCATTTAAACCAATTTTTTCATCATTGGCATATATTTTTTATTATAATCTTATCAAATGGTTATCAAAAAAAATAAAAAATAAAAATAAAAAATAAAAAATAAAAAAATAAATCAAAACAGTTTTTGATGGATTTTTTTTTTTTCAAAGATAATTTCAATTAATTAAAATATGAATGAAATATTTTAAATAATTATTATAATTTTTTTTTAAATCATTATTTTTTGTAATCACGTTGGGTAAAAAAAAATCATAAAAAAACATTGTAAATGGTTACTGGACCCACCCCCTTTTTTTAAAAAAAAAATTAAAAAAAATAATTTTAAAAAACCACCAAATTTCAAATAAAAAAAACAAAAAAACAAACCTACAAAGCTAAATATAGGCTGAATGAAAAAAAAAAACTATTAAATATCATTTTTAAAAACAAATAAATCTAGTTTTATTTATTTGTTTAATATGTTTTGAGTATTTATTGTTAGTTATCACAAACAAAATATATGTTTTAATTTGAGAGATCTTTTTTGAATCTAAATTTAGTTAAAAATATAAAAAAAAATCAAAAGAAAAAAAAAAATTAGACTGAACAAAACCCAATACAACCCTGTGTGTTAAATATCCACATTCATTAGTAACATACACACTCACATATATTCACACTCACAACCACACTCACACCCACACATAAAAAATACTAATTATCCAATCAATTTTATATGTTGTGAATAAAAAAAAAAAAACTATTGTTATTATTATTACATATACACTAAAACGGATTTTTTATTTTTTATTTTTTTAAATTTTTTTATTAATTTTTTTTTCAAACCATAAAATATTTATTTTTTGAATTCTAAAAAATTAATTTAAAAAAATATAAAATGGCAAAGATAAATATATTGGAATTATTATCAGCATGCAAGAACTTAGCAGAAGAATCGGGTGAAATTATCACATCAGTATTTAAATCTGGTGATTTAAATGTTCAAATGAAAGGTGAAGATGACCCAATGACACAAGCAGATTTATTATCACAGCAACATATTATTGGTGGATTAAATAATTTATGGTCAGATTTAATCATTGTAGGTGAAGAGTCATGCGAAATACCAAAAACTGATAAGATCCCATCAATCAATTCATTAAAGCAATACGAAAATGAACTAGAAAAGAAGCAACCAGAGTTTTTATCCTTGGATACTAAAGATTTAATTATATTCATTGACCCATTGGATGCAACTAGAGAATTTACAAATGGACGTGTAGGATGTGTTATGACATTAATTGGTATTTCTTACAAAGGTAAACCAATTGCAGGTGTAATTTATCAACCATTTGTTGATGCTGATGGTATTGCATCTAAAGAATCTAGTAAATGGGTTGGTAGATCTGTATGGGCCGTTGTAGGTTTACCAGTAGTTGGATTAAAAGATAAAAGAGCACCAGAGGATGTAGGAAAGGTTATTTTGGTTACTACAGCAAGTCATAACAATCAACAAGTCGAGGATGCTATCAATAAAATAAAACCCGATAAATTAATTAGAACTGGTGGTGCTGGTTACAAAACTCTTATGGTAATTGAAAATCTTGCAGATGTTTATGTTTTCCCAACAGTAGGTACCAAGCTTTGGGATATTTGTGGTCCACATGCCATCCTTTTAGCAATAAATGGTAGTTTAACAGATCCATTCGGTAATGAAATAGTTTATACAAATGATCCAAAGAAAATAGATAATAAATATGGTGTTGTAATTACAATTGGTGACCATCAAAAATATATAAATTTATTAAATCAAAAATAAAATAATAAAATATGTATTAAAATGTAAAATATTGAAAATAAAATGAAAGTTTAAAAATAGATTTTTAGATAATTTAGTTTTATTATTTTAAAAATAAAAAAAAAAAACAAAATTAGAAAGTTTTAAATACAGTTTTTTTCTTTTAAATAGTTTATATTTAGCTTATGAGACAAAAATATTTATCGAACCAGCTTCTAATAGTTTTGAGGAGTCACGATCTGCTGAAACAATTAGATCCTTTCTTCCATCATTATTAAAATCTGACAAGCAAGTTCTAAAGCCAAATCTGCTATCTTTTCTTTTGTTGTTTAGTGAGGATGATGCTGAGCCTATATTTGAAAGGTTGTAGGTTTTAATACTGTGAACATTGTCATAGATTATAACTGGTGTATTATTGATTTTGTTTTGTTTAAAATGAACTTGGTCTTTAACCAAATGGTCATTTGGTGAATATGAGAAAACACATCCTGATCCTGTTTCGATAGTATCGGTCCAAAGTGGGGCTCCAACAAATAATTGTGCAAATTCATCAGCTTGATGTATTTTACCAACTAAAAGACTTTCACCAAATCTTGAATACTTGGCAGTGCCTCTTATAGAAAGTAATGGGAATATATCTTTTATTGAGTTTATACCACGGAGTGGATCTACATCTATTAACACAACTTCACCAACTTGATCATATTCATCTCCAAATCCTCTGGTTGGTAACGATAGAATAATGATATCATTGACATTGTTTAGGCCAAAGGATGAGCCATTAATGGTGTGGAAATTATACCCAAGTTTATCGTTGTTACCACTTCCAAGTATGGTGAATTTTGGTGTCTTTTCGAATTGGTTTGATTTACTGTTCATTGCATATGCTGTTATTTTGCCAATATTTACAAGTTTTGTACGAGGGAAGTGGAAATTTGGACTACCAACCAAAAGGAGAGCTTTGTCACCTGCGTTAGATACTTTAATTTCATTTCCAAACCATTCATAGTCCACAGAGCCATGTACTGAGTAGTCTGAGTGTTCCAATGTTAAATTACCGGGTAGTCTATTTTTTGATGAGTAAAATATGGATACCATACCACGTTGAGAACCACCACCGTGAGAGTTTGGTGTACCTAAAATTAAATCTAAATAGCCATCACCGTTGCAATCAGCTGATCTAATAACAGTACCAAGGGCATCATGGGAACGAATACCCTTCATAATAATACTTGGTTTATTTGGGTCAGCAATATACCATTTTGAACCATCATCGCCAATTGAACCGAAATATATGTACAACATACCTTTGTAGGTCAATTCGGCATTGAATGACGAGGGTGCACCAACTATTAGATCTAAAACTCCATCTAGGTTAAAGTCTAATACTTCAACATTCCATCCAAATTTAGAGTGGGTTTCAAAACCACAAACTTTTCCAGCGGCAATTTGATCAATATTATAATTGGATGTGTCATCGTAGAATGGCTTATAGTTATCGGTGGTGTTGCTTATAACATAGAAGACACATCCAGTTTGCATTGTACCGGGTTGGCCATAACCAGGGGATGATATAATTATATCATCCAAACCATCATTATTAAGGTCAACGGATCTAAAATCTCTGCCAAAATAACCATACATATTTTGACCATAGATAGTTGAAAAGTTTGACTCTAAATTATTATTATCATTAATTTTAATATTATTGTCGTTTCTATTTATATATGATTTAAAATTATAGTTTCTATTGTCTTTTAAAAATGGGTGCTGTAAATCTTGAATTTCTTTTTGTTTTGGTTGTTCTTGGGTAATTTTGATTTTGTTAGAACTTAAAAATTGCTTATATTTTGGATGTATAAATCTATTGATATAATCTAAAATTTTTTCTTCTTCTTCTTTAAATTTATCTAGAATGGTGTCGATAATTTTTTCAATAGTTGTTGGTAATTCATATGAAGCACCTTGTTTATCTTCTACAATTTTCATTTGGCTGAAAATTTGTTTTGCTAATTGGCTACCTATTAAGCTGCTAATGCTATCTGATTCTTCAAGATGTTTTTCAGAATTATAATTACTGTTTTCATTCTCTTGACTTTCATCACCTAAAACTAATTTGCTGTATGATGTTGGTGGCAAGTGGCCCGAATCTGCATCAGAGTTATTTGGGTCTGGTTGAATAAAACAGAATTCACCTATGGTGCTTCCATTTAACCAACCCATTAATACAGGCCAACAGTAGCTTGTCCAAATTGACATATCATCTAGGCCCCCATTAAAATAATCTTGATAGTGATCCACTAAAAATGGTGATTTTTTAGCAATCTCTGGATATAAAAATCTACCTCCAATTTTAACGCCCATGGCGCCAGCATATAATACTGCATTGCATCTTAATAAATTTTCATAATTTACTCTGGTATAGTTTAATAGATGAAATATATTTTTTATATCTGTTATTGGAACATACCATTCTAGAAATAAATTTTTTAATAGTTAGAAGATGTTTTTTTTATTTCTAATATATAAATCTACTTACTATCAGATAGCCAAGATAAATCATAGTTGTATGCTAGTTCAAATTCCCCACCCTCATCTGCATTAGTATGGGCAGTTGAATAAACACCATTAAAATCTTGACCAGCCATTGCTCTAATTAAACCCTCTTGAATACCTCCTATTGAGTGCCATGAAATATCGGCCACTTGATGTGATGCAACACCTAATAAAAATACAGCTAGTCTTATACCATCATGGCTCCATGGTTGTGGGTATGTATCTATTAAATATTGTGATCCAGCCCTTAAAAATGGTGGCCAATGTGCTGCTTCTGATTCGTTAGCTAAACCTGCGCAATCATATCCGAAATCTGGGAATGCTGCACCTGCATCAAAAACATCAAAATTTTCTGATATATACTGTTTAAATTCTGTGAAGCCTATAGAATTAATTTTGTATGAATTTTAGTATTAATATAAATTTTTAATTTTAAAAATTTAAAAAAATTTTTTTTTGTGAATGGTAATAAATTTAAGATTGATTTTTAGATATTTTTTTAATTTTATAATAAATTTTTTATAACTGTTTTTCTTATAGAAATGAGAAGCAAAATAAAATAATAAAAAAAAACTTCTCCACATAAAAAGTGTATAATAATATTTAAGAGTATTTTTTTTATTTATTTATTTATTTTATTAAAATTATTTATTTATTTAATATTTACCTTCAAAACTTGAAAAATTATAGGCTCTTCTTGCTACGGTATTATGTGTAGTCATGCCACATGATAATACAGATGATATTAGGAATAATAATGATCCTGTAATATATAAATACATTTTAATATTACTCTTCATTTTTAGAATATAGTTTTATTCTAGTTTTCAAACTATAAATAAAAAGAGAGTGCGAATTTATTTATTTATCTTTATATTGTTTATATTATTATAAGATGATTATTAAATATTTTAAAAAAAACAAAACAAAAATAAATACAAATAGAAAAGTCTTAAAGCTGGTTTATATACAAATTATTATTTTTAAAGTAATGAATTAATTTTATTCGTAACAATGAATTTTTTTATATTGTTTATTTTTCTTAATTTATTTATTATTATTATTATTATGTACAGTTTTTTATTATGTATTTATTGAAAAAAAAAAATTATTAAAATAAAACTTTTAATTTATTTTATTAAAAATTGTTGTTCACTGGTATTTAAATATTATTTTTTGAATACATAATAATTTATTTAATTTTATAGGTTGGTATATATAAATATATTTTTTTTTGGCAAATTAATAGATAAAAAAAAAAAAAAAAACAATTAACACACACAAAAATACACACAACACACTAAAAATATATAAAAGGAAATAGTAATACAAATATAGATAGATAGAAATATAATAATTAAACAAAGAAAAAAAATAAATAATAAATTTGAATTTTAATATTACAAAGTAATATATAATTAATATAATAAATTTTGTACAAAGAAAAACATTAAACAATTTTTATTTTTCGACACTCTATTTAATTTTTTTATTCCTTTTTTTTTTTTTTTTTTTTTTTTTTAATTTTTTAAATTTAAAATTAATATTAAAATTAATTTTAATATTTTTTTCTCTATGTAAAGAGAGTGGTGGTATAAAAATAAAAAATTTCTGGAAATTTTATGCATGTGTGTTAAAAAAAAAGTGTGTTTAAAAACACACACACACACAATTTATTAGGTTTCCTAATCAAGGTTATTATCAACTATAAAAAAGATATGTAAAATTATTTTTATAATTATTTTTTTTTTGTGATTGAATTGAAAAAATTGTTTTTTATTATAATTTTGTTATTTTTAGGTTTATTAACAGGATTTAGTATTAAAATTATTGTAATAATCTATTTTAAAAATTATTTTTTGTATATCAAAAATATTTTTTGTGAATGTCTGTGTGTTTATTTTTAATTTTTTTATTTTTAAATAAATGTTTTAAATTATATTATTGTGTATATGTTTTTTTTAAATAAAAATAAAAATAAATAAATAAATAAATAAATAAATAAATAAATAAATAAATAAATAAATAAATAAATAAAATTAAATAAATATATCTTTTGTGATGCCTAACCATCAAATCTAATATAATTTTTATTTTTACAATAGTATATTTTACTATCAATAGGTTATTGAAAAAGAGTGATGACAATAATATATTATTTAAACAAATGAAATAATATAAAATAAAACAAAAAAGAAAATAAAGTTATATTATAGAAAAGATAAACAAATATAAAAAATAAATAAATGTAAAATATAATTTTATACATACTAATAATTATCTTTTACCATTTTTTATTATGGTTGTATTTGAAATTTCTTTCATTATAGTTATATTTGATTTCAATTATAAAGTGTGATGTTAAAAATGATTAAGTTTAAATATATAAATTAATAAATAATAAACTTCAAAAAAAAAAAATGAAAAAAAAAGAAAAAATAAAAAAAAAAAGAAAATTTAATAAAATTAAAATTATTATTTATTAACAGTTATTCATCTCGAAAAAATAAATTTTTTTTTTTTTTTATTTTTTCAAATTTTTTAATTTTTTAAATTGTTAATATTATTGTTCTGTTGGTTATTTTATAATCTTTTAATCTCATATTAATCAAAATCAAATAGTAGTTATAATAATAACAATAATAATAGCTGTTATAGTGTTAGTAGTAGAATAATAATGGCAGATACATCATTATTATTACAAAAAGCAGCTTCGTTAATACAACAGGCAGTGGCTATGGATTCAGTTTTAAACTATCAAGAGGCACTAAGATTGTATCTTACAGGTTTGGACGCTTTTATGAGCGCTTTGAAAGGTAGGTGCTATTTTTAGAATATCAAGATAACAACTGTTATTCTTCATAGGTTAGTTTTACTAATATTTATTATTAGTTGAAAAAAATGATAGAGTTAAGCAAACATTAAAATTAAAGATGTCAGAATATATGAATAGGGCAGAGGAATTAAAAGTGTTGATAAAAAAAGGGCATATAGCACCAGCTATCACACATGTATCAACACAATCGTGTCATGATTGCCCAACACCAAAGAAAACAGTGCGTACAATAATACCACCATCAACACAGCATCATATATTACAACAGCAACAGCAGCAACAACAGCAATATCAGCCTTCTGCTCCACCACAATATCAACCATCTGCAGATTTGGTATTACCATCAGTTCCAACTACAGAGTTACCAAAACTAAGTGATTTGGATTTATCAGAACCATTACCAACACCACCACCCTATAATCCAAGTGCAGTTGGTACCAATAACAATAGCAATAATAATAATAATAGAAATTTAAGTTTAGTTAAAAATAAAAAAATAATTAATGGTCAAATTGGAAATAGTTATGAAAGTTTATTTGGGGATTATTTAAACGACTGCCAATGGATTAAAATTGTTGACCCATATATAAGAACAAGACACCAAATTGATAATTTAGTAAGACTAGCCGAGCTAGTTATAAGCAAATGTATATATAAAAACAACCTCAATAACCCAACCACACCAGTTTCGAAATCATCAGCCTCCTCACAAAAAGTTAAAATTGATTTATTAACATCTTCAGAGAATGCAAATCAAGAGGATGAGTTAAAATTGGTCTTTTATCAACTAAAAGACCATCTATCTTATTTCAACATTAACTTTAATTACCAATTCAGCTCAACTATTCACGATAGATCCATCGAAACATCAAATGGTCATTTAATTAAATTGGGCCGTGGTTTAGATATCTATCAAAAACTTCCAAACCAAAATAGTTTTAGCGGTATTGGTTCATTTTCACAAGATTTACGTCCATGCTTAGAGTTTTCAATTGATATATTTAAATTAAATTAAACAATTAAATTTGTAATCAATTTTGTAATCTACATTTAAATATTTTAAAAACAAATAAACTATATTTATTTATTATAAACTTTTTTTTTTTTTTTTTTATCTCTTTGTTCAGATTCAAAATAAAATTAAAAATAGATTTGTGTGTGGGGAGTGTAATTACATCTACACACTTCCCCTATATGAATAAAAATTTATTTTAATTTTCTCCCCCCCCCCATTATATTTTTTTTTTTTTTATTATTTTTTTTAATTTTTTATTAAACATATGTGCTTCTTTTTACTTTATTTTGTATATTTTTTTTTTATCTCTAATAAAAAAGTTTTTTCTAAATTTTCAAAATTTTATTTTTTTTTTTAAATTTTATTTTTTTCACATTTTAAAATGACTGTAGTTTTAGATAATGAAATTAGAAATTATCTAAATGCAGAATGGGATGATATTGAAGCTTTGGGCAAAGGTGTTCATTCAATTGTTTTAAAAGCAAAGAAAAGAAACGGGGACTTTAATGGAAAGAAGGTAGAATTCTGTACAATTAAATCTGTAAAAAAACAAGTTCATTTAGTCAATGAAAATATTTACTTTGAACAAGATCCAAAAAAAGAAAGAGAAATTTTAGAAAAGCTTGGTTCTCATAACAATTTATTAGATTACTATGGACATACTGAAGATGTTAAAACTCAAACTACATATTTCTATTTCGAATATTTAGAAGGTTTCACATCGATTCAATCCAAGTTACTAAAAGAGCCAACTTATTTCAGAGCAGAGGAAGAGACAATGAAAAGAATAGCACTGCAATTGGTACTTGTCCTAAATTATCTTCATCACACTTTAAATATAATGCATAGAGATATTACACCCGACAATGTTTTAATAGATGGAGAATGCAACATAAAACTAATCGATTTTGGCCAATCAAAAGAATTTGCTCATTTTGATTCAAGTTTAAATAATAATTATAATTGGTCATTATTAGGCAAAGAAGAATATATCGCGCCTGAAGTTAAAGTTAATCATTCAAATTTTTCAATTATTTCAAAAATATCTAGTAATTCTTTAAAAAATAGTTTATCTAATAGTATTAATACCAATAATAATAGCAGTGATAACGATCAAAGTGGAAACATTTCGCCGTGTAATGTAGAATTAATAGATTCACCAGATATTCCAAGTGTTTATAATAGTAATAGTAATAATAGTAATGTCGATATAAATTTATTTGGTATTGGTTCAACTTTATCTTTAAAAAGTCTTAGAAAAATAGATATATGGAGTTTAGGCTGTTTAGTTCTTCATATTTCTGGTGGTGATCCAAAAATTATTTCATCAAGTTTCGAACCCATTGTTCCCGATAGTGTTTCTTTTAATGGTAGAAATTTTATTCAAAAGTGTTTAATTCAAGACCCAGATCTTAGATTTGATACAACATTACTTTTAAAACATAGATTTCTGGAAAAATCTTATTTATTACAACAACAACAGGATAACTCTTTTGGGGACAATCAAAAAATCGAAGACGAGCAAGAGATAAGTTTTGGTATTGGTAGTGAAAATGTTTATTATTTAGGAAATGAGGAAATTTTAAAAGAGAACTCAATCCCAAACTATATAACAACTATTGTTTTTAATGACTCTTTTGATCAAGATATTAAATATGACTACCTTCCACATAATCTCAAGCATCTCCATTTCAACAGATCATTTAACAAATTAGATTTCTTAGAATTACCAGAGTTTAATTTATCAACATTAAAATATTATCAGCAATTTAAAATACCTATAAAACCAAGACAATTACCGAAAAGCATTGTTAAACTAGTTCTACCAAATTATAGTTTAGAAATTAGAAAAAATTCAATTCCAGCACAAGTAAAGTTTTTAACACTTGGCTATTTAAAATCATTGGAATCTTTAACAAATCTACCACCCTCAATTATAGATTTACAATTTTCTTGTAGTCAAGAGCTATTTGATTCCATAACCCTTGAAGTATTGCCACCAAATATTTCATTTTTGAAGGTCAATAACCAAATTATAGACTTACCATTAAAAACAAAAAGCTTGCCACATCATTCAAATATACCAATTGATTCAGAAATCCCAGAAACTGTATGTATAAATACCAAATAATTTTAAATGTAAAATATTTATCCATGTATATTAATTTTAACTTTTTTAGAAATTTGAAGATGTTATAATCAACAGCCAAAGTGAATTTCCTAATTTGAAAAATAGAAATATAAGATCAATTACATTCAATGATGATTTTAATGAAGATATAAATAGAAAGGAATTTACTAGCTTAATTCCAATTATTAAAGAAATGAAATTTGGTTTTAGATTTAATAAAGTAATCGATTTCTCATTACCAATGTTTTTAAATAGGTTGATTTTTGGTGATAAGTTTAACCAACCCATTGAAGCTGGTGTTCTACCCTCTCAGTTGGTACATTTGGAATTTGGAAGGTGTTTCAATAGACCAATCAAATCTAAAGTTTTTCCAAGTGGTTTAAAGACACTCAAGTTTGGTGATCAATTTAATCAGACTATTAATGAAGATATACTACCATCCTCCATTGAAGTACTCAAGTTTGGAAATCAATTCAATCAACCAATTTTATCAGCTCTATTACCAACAAATTTAAGAGTGCTTGTGCTTGGTTTGGATTTTGATCACAACTTACCACCAGAATGCTTTTCATCTAGAATCTATGATAGTTTAGAAGAGTTATCAATTTTATCGGAAAATCTATCATTTGAAAATATATCTATCTTTTCAAAACCATTCAAGAAACTATCAAAATTTGTTTTCAATGGTTTATTCAGAGGATCATTACCAGACAATTTGTTACCACCATCCATTGCTTCTCTCGAGCTACCTAACTATAATTTCAAGATTACAAGCAAAGCAATTCCACAATCAATAAAGTCATTGAAGCTAGGTTGTAAATATTCTTTTATAGACTCTTTGACTCTATTGCCACCATCACTGGTAGACCTTTCTTTGGGTTGTTGCGAAGAAGATAGAGTATTAATTACTCAATCGACAATACCACAAAATTTAAAGAAGCTAGTAGTGAATAACCAAGATGTTCGATTACCAATAGTGTATAGCAAAGAGCAACTATTGGATCTATCAACTGAATTAGCAAACAAGCATTTAGCTTCAAAAAAGAAAAAGATTAATGGCACATGGATTGTTACTATCGAAAATTTTACAAATAAAAAGGATCATTTTTTCAGTTCTGTTTTTAATTTGGTAGATTCAAATTGGAAATTGAAATTTTATTCAACAGGCAAAGAAAGCAATGGCTTCTTATCAGTCTATCTAGTAAATGATGATATTTGTAATAATCCATTTTTAGAAAAAACTATATCATATAAAATTCATCTTTTAAATCAATTAGCTCCAAACTCCTCTTTAGAAAAAAGTAAATATAAAATTAAAAAAATAATATCTTAACCATTAAATTAAAATATTCTAACCTTCAGCTTAATACTATTATTATTGCTATATAGACTCTGCACACAAATTTACAAATAAAGATTTTACTCATGGTTATATATCGTTTATAAGTTTATTTACACTATTAAACCCAAACTCTGGATTTTTACTAAACAATACATTAAAGTTTAAAATTAATATGATATCAAATACACAATTGGTAGATACAAGTGACAAATTTAGTTTAGATGTTGGTCAAACTTTTACATATAGAATTCCAAAACTCTCAAATAAGATCGAACCCTTTGTATCACCAATATTTGAGTGCTGCGGTCGTTCTTGGGGTTTAAAAATATATCCGATGGGTCAACCTGCTTCACACTTTATTTCAATATTTTTAGAAAACATCAAGCCAAGTAATAATGAAGAACATTTCATTTTTTCACTAGAATTGGTAAACCAAGTCGATCAAACCCAATCAATTAAAAACTGGATTAGTAATAATTTCTCTTCTAAAAATCCAATATTTGGTTATCCTAAATTTTTTGGTGTTTCTTCTCTCTTAGATCCTGAACTAGGTTTCCTTGTAAATGACTCTATAGTATTATCGGTAACAATTATTCAAGTTTCAAATAAAAAGAAAAATTTCTTTAATTTAAATATTTAAATATATAATGTAAAATATATAATGTAAAAATAAATAAATAAACAAATGTGTAAATAAAAAATAATAATTCAATTATTTAAATCTAAAGTTTTTTAAAAAAAAAGATTTTATTATATTATTTTTTTTATACTATTATTTATATTATTTAGTGTCCATTTGGTCACTATTATACTTTAATCTTTCAATTTCTTCTCTTTGTTGATCTACAAGTTGTTTTAATGCTAATATTTCTTTATCTTTTTCTGATTCTGCCTCTTGACCTTCAACGAAAACAAATCTACCAACTGTAATATCACCAAATAAAATATTGAATTTATCTGCAACTATTCTTTCAAACACCTCATATGTTGGTAAATCATTGATGTTAGTCTCTTTGTCTTTTAATGTGCTTAATACTTGATTTTTATAATCAATAATAACCTGATCGTCTTTGAAATTCTTTGCCTCTTTATCATTAACGAAATTATTTTCATCAACAAAATTACCATCTTTAATTGATTTCTGATTGAATTGGTAATATGATTTAAATGCTATATATCTTTCCAATAAATCTTTTTGAATAATTGAAACTGTTTTAATTAAATCTCTACCTGGTGATCTGATTGAATTAATTCTTTGAATAAGTGAGGAGGTTAATACTGATAGCCCATATGGATTGTTAAATTCATTGTTGAAATAAGGATTTAAAAATGTAAATGATGGAAATCCAATATTACTTGAATATAAAAATGCTGTATCTAAAATTTTAAAATAATTTAATTAAATTTAGATTATATTATATTTTTTTTTTTTTTTTTTTTTTTGTTAAAATACTCTTGTGCTCTTTAAATCTATATGATGGATCTTCAAATAACTTTTTAATACCATCTTCTTCTTTTGTTTGCTCCATACTTCTACAACAATCTAAAATAAATAACTTTCTAAATGATGTGGTCATTTTCAGTTTTTCTTTACACTCGTCAGAAATTTCTTTTTCTTTACTTTCCAATGCTTCAACCAGCTTTTCAAGCTCCACTCCAACGCCATTCTCTTGCATTAATTTTAATCCATTTCTTTCATTTACAACGCCATGACCTGAAAAATAAAATATAAATTCAACTGAAGTTTCTGAAAAATTAAAAAAACCAAGGTATTCTAATATAAACATATAAAAGATAATATATTAATACATTTAAGTGGTAGTAAAATAATTTAAATGGTGTACTTACTTTTAAATAAAGATAATAAATCTGAAGTGTTTTTTAATAGTACCAAGCCATCCTTTAATTTTATTTCGTTTTCGTAATAGTCATCATTATCAGCACCTCCTTCGTGTGTTCTTTTAAATCCACACTTTCTTTTTAATATCTCTGAAAATTTAGTTGCATCAATATCACATTTTAATTCGCCACCATATCTATTGCCTACAATAAAAGCTTTTCGAACTTTTTGATTTTTAAAATATTGCTTTATTATTTTAAAAAATTAATATTTTAAAAATTTTAAAAAAAAGGGTGAAATGAAATCAAAAAATTTTATATTTACCTCGAAATGTTCTTCTCTCTTACTCACACCGCCTTTACTCATATTGAAAAATATATTAAATTATTATAAACAATTTATTATAATAATAAATATTTGTATTTTCAAAATAAAAAATTAAAAATTCCCAAAAAAAAATAAAAAAAATAAAAAAAATTGAAAAAAAAAAAAAAGTAAAAAATTAAGATTTAAATGTGGGTATTGCAATTTTTGATCAAAATGACTAAATAAATCATGTAAAATATAATCAATATATAAAAGTAAATATACATTCATTGTAAAAATTTTATAAAAACTATTTGAATTTATGAGTTTATGTTTGAAAATTTTGGAAAAAATGGTGAAAGATTAAAAAAACAATCTAATTTAAATTTTATTTTTATTTTTAATTTAATATATTTTTAATTTTAATTTTAATTTTAATAATAAAATATAAATAGAACTGTTTTATTAATTTTCTTTATTTTCTTTATTTTTTGAATTTTTATAAAAATTGAATAATGATGTATGAGAGAAAAAAGTGAGAAGAAGATAAAAAAGTTAAAAGGGTATCTAAAAGAATTAAAAAAATATTAAAATTTTTAAAATTAAAAAAAATTAAAATTTTTTTTTTTAATTTTTTAATTTTTTTTTTTAATTATTATTTTTTTATTATTTTTAATAATCATTTATTTCAACAATAAAAACAAGAATACAAATTTTTTTTTTTATTTATATTATTTTTATTATTTTATTATTTTTAAATAATAAATTATAGTTAAATAATATTAAATAAAATATAGAATAGGTAAATACAGAGAATAAATAATAAAAACAATAATATAATAAAATAAAATAATAAATAATCTCTGAAAATAGAAAACACAATAATAAAATTATTTTTATAAACTTAAAAAATATTTAAATAAAAAAAAAAATAAAAAAAAAATCCATAAATAATAATAATATAACAACTATAGTATTCAATCAATAATAATTAAACAACTTGGACAATGCAATCTCGTTGTCACATGAACAAAAAATCATTGTATACTACTAGCAGAAATTTGAATTGATAGGAATTATAAATCAAATTCGATCCTTTAACCCAAATTATATTAAATATCCATTCTTTAATTAACAATAAACAGACCAATATTATTATAATAATCTCAAACCAATCCATATAATAGTTATATATATAATATTTTCAAATCCTACCCTTATCATTCAAAACAACTATTCAATAACCCAGAATTCCAAATCCAAAAAGATTTAAAGGTAGCAATCACAGTTAATTAATTAATTATCATAAAAAAAAAAAAAAAAAATTCAAATAATTTTATTAAATTTCAAATAATTATTGCAATTTTTTTAATACAAAAAAAAAAAAAAAAAAAAAATTTTTTTAATACAAAAAAAAAAAAAAAAAAAATCATCTTCAACTAATATAAAAAGCACAAATACAACAATTATTCACAATAATATTTTTCTATAAATAGTTAACAACAAAAAAAAAAAGTAATCATTTATTCACCACAAGAAAAAAAAAAGGAAAAAAAAAAAGAAAATTTTTTATTTTTTTAAAAAATTCATTTCATTTTTTTTTTTATTTTTTTAAAAATTTTTAAATTTTTTTATTTGTATTATTTTTCATCTTTTTTTTTATATTATTGTTATTGCTTTTACATTAATTAGTGTTCGACAATGAACCTCAGTGATAGCGATGACAACGATACTTTAATAGCTTCATGCTTTGATTTTATCGATTCAAGAAATTACGATAATTCAGAAGATGATGATCAATACAGTAATTCGTCGTTTGGCAATACAATAGCACCACCATTTTTAAAAGGAAATCAAAATCATAATAATAACGACACCAATTTTCAAAATTTAAGTAACAAACATAATATCGGTAAAAAAGATGATTCAGACGATGATTTTTTTACAAATAACAATAATAACAATAATAACAATAATAGCAGCACTTTAAATAGTGAGGGTAATAAATCAAGAAGAAGAGAGATTTTGAACAAGCCATTGGTTAAACAACAAGCACCAATTGGAACTCATCAAATATCCAAAATTGAACCTAACCAATTTGATTTTTCTAATGTAGAAGATGATTCATCTCATAAACCAACATATCATTTTCAAGAACCACCAAAAATTAGCAAATCATCCAAGAATAAACCATCAAGCAAAATTGAAAGAAGAGCCGGTAAAGAGCCATCAAAAGTTAATTCCAAACAAAAATCAAATGATTCATCAACATCAGGTTTTAAAATTTTAAAAAGAAATGAAGATGCAATAGGTAATTTTTTAAATATAATAAATCAAAAATCATCAACATCTATTACTCTGAATATTAACAAAATTCATAAATTTTTAGACTCTGATAAATTAAACGATTTATTTAAAAAAGGCTTACCAACAACTACAACCCCATTGACCAACTCTGTATCGCATAAATCAACTGCTGGTACTAATGGCAATCACAGGGAAAGAGAAAGAGAAAGAGAAAGAGATAGGGACCGTGATAGAAATAGAGACCGTGATAGAAGGGGTTCAACTAAGCAAAATGAACAACAATCAACAAAATCTAAAAATTTATTAAAAGAACAAGAGATTGGCAGAATTTTAGGAGAAACACCAATTCATTTTGATTTAGATACCGTATCATTCTCGCAAACTAATGTTTTTCAAAAAGGTGAAATCGTATTAGTTCCAAGGTCAAGGGGTGGATTTACTTATGCTAAGATTCATGAAACATCTCAATCAATGGTTTGCCATCATGACACATCTGTACATCACCCAGTTACCCAATATAGAGCAGTTTATCCAGCTAGTGGAAGAAAAGATAATCTATATAAAGATTTACCAGCAAGTTATCTAGGTAAACTTGTTCCATTTCAAAAACTACTACCGAATGTAAAGAAATATGTACTCCCTATGCCAAATGAAAGTTTTACAATGGTTGGCCAAAAAGCTTCACAAAGAGATCTTCATGGGCTTGTATTTTCTCCAACAACCAAATTTCAAATTAACCAAATCGTTTTGGTTCCAAGAAGCAAGGGTGGTTTTACTTACGGTATGATCATTAAAGAATGTAAAGTAACTTGTAAAGTAAATGATAACGTCAAACATGAAGTCCCAGGGTATCGTGTTGTAGTGGAAAAAAACAAAGAACACACCATTATCAAAGATTTAGCAATTGGGAGTCTTGGAAAAATTTTTACATCTGTTGAAAATAATCAATTTATAAATCCAATTAATAATAACTTAAATATTAATCAACAACAGCAACAACAGGTTAATAGAGGGAGAAATAATATTCATAATGATAAAGATAGAAGAGGTAATTTAAGAAATAATAATAACAACAATAGAAGAGATAGAAGAGAAAGAAGACCAAGAGAAAAGAAAAGACAACAGGCTCAATTCGATCAACTGGCTGATAAATTGGCAGAATCACTTTTAGAAGAAACTAAAAAGAAAACAGAGGAATTAGAAAAATTAAATGGTAATAAATCATCTACAACTACAACAACTATATCAAATCATAATCAACAAGATGAGGATGAGGAATATAATGGTAGCGACTATGAAAGTGACGATGAACAAGATGACACAGATAGCGGATATGAAAGTGATGGTGAAGAAATTGAATATGAAACTGATGAAGAACAAGAAGACATGGAAGAGGAAGAAGAGGAATACGAAGAATACGAAGGGGAAGAGGAAGAGAATACTGATGAAGATAGCATTGAAAACCAACAACAAGAAAATGAAACAACTTCAAGTCAAAATGACGATGAGAACGAAGGTGATAGTGAAGATGATGAAGAGGAAGAAATTTTGTGGAACCCAACTGGAAAATCAAATAATCCAACACCTACATTAAATCAAAAACAATCAACTCAACAACCACAACAAATAGGTCAACAAATCCAATCACAATCCCAAAATTTAAAAACCCCGCCTCTACAAACACAAAAAACACAACAACCACCGCAACCACAACAACCACAACAACCACAACAACCACAACAACCACAACAACCACAACAACCACAACAACCACAGCAACCTCAACAACCTCAACCACAACAACAACCTCAACAACCTCAACAACCTCAACAACCTCAACCACAACAACAACCTCAACAACCTCAACAACCACAACAACAACAGCAACAACCCTCTGGAATTAAAGGGGGAATTTTCCAAATGCCATCCGATTCTGCAGTATTTACTGGCAAAACTAAAAAATCATCAAAATCTACAATGGTAATTATTGATGGACCAAATGTTGCCAAGAGAGAAAAGAAACAGTTTTCAGTCGCTTCACTCAAGAAAGCTCTTGATTATTATAAGATTAGAGGATATGACGTTGTAGCATTCGTGCCAGAATCATTTGCATCAAGAAAACCCCATTCAGGGCCAAAGTCATTCACAATGTTTGATTTTAACGATGTTGCAGATGATTTAGTAGGTCTCCAAAAATTGGTTGAGAGTGCCCAAGTTTGTCTTACACCAGCTCAAGATTATGATGATAGTTATACCATCCAATATGCCAAGAATAATAATGCATGTATTGTAACCAATGACCGTTATAATGACCATATAGAAAAAGCAAAAACAGAAGTTGAAAGACAAAAAATTAGAAAATTCATCAGAGATCATTGTATATCATTCACTTTTGCAAGAGGTGATTTTATTCCAAACCCAGATTTCAAATTCCCAACAACATAGTTCACAAATATTAAAAAATGTTTTTTTTAAATAACAATTTTTTCAACACCATCTAGATTAGATCATTATTATTATTAATATTTCAATGTAAATTCTGCAACAATAACAAAAACTCAATTAAAATTAATAATAATAATATATTTCCCGGCCTCAATATTTCTCCCCTTTGTCCATAGTACATTATTAATTCTTTTTTATAAAAAAAATAAAGATAAAAATCTGCAAGTGCAGTACTTTAAAAAAAAAACTAATATATTTATTTGTTTATTTTCTTTAATTTCTTTAATTTTATTTACAGTTTACAATTTTTTTAATATTAATTTACATAAGTTTTAAAAAAAAACATTTTTTAATTTGAAATAATAAGTGGTATAGATACAACATTCTGTTGACCCTTTTGGTCTTTATATTCTAACTCTAACTGTGCATTTGAAGATGGAGATGTGTTACTATTTGGCTCATGATATACATAAAATAGTTGATGCTCTTGTGGGCACAATGGAACGGTGCCTGTTTTATTATTATTACAAATTGTTCTATTTTCGTCTCCTCTGAGATAGGGAATTTTAAATTTCTCTGAACAACTACTTTTAATTCTTATTTCTAAGTCGAGTGGTTCTGGACTATTGTTTGTAATTGTAAGCCCAACTCTATTACTATTCTATAAAATATAGAGAATGTTAATATTGTTAATTTATAAATTTATAAATTTTAATCAATATCTATATTATACATACTGGACTAAACATTAGTTCACTGGGTTCAATTTCAATTATTCCATTATCCATTTCTTTTTTGATTATTGCTATTATTATTGTGTATATTGAAAAATAAAAAAGATATAATAAAAAACAAGTGGTATGGAAATTTAAAAAAAAAAATTTTAATTTTTAATTTTTTTTTTAATATTTATTTTTATTTTAATTTTTTTTTTCAAATAATGGATCTATTTATTTTTCTAATTCCTTTTTTTATAAAATTATAAAAAATTGAATTCAAAAAAAAATATAAAATAAAATTATTATAAATGATTAATTATTTTAAAAATTTAAATAAAATTCTTTTATATAATACTTTTTATTTTAAAATAAAAACATAAAATAAAAAATAATAAAATTAATTAAATTAATTAAATTAAAATAAATTAAATAAAACTTAATCTGGGTGTGTGGGAGGAATGAAAAATTAATTATTACCACAATAACATATTTTACTATTTTTCTTAAATAAACCCACCCACACTCCATAAGACCTATTATTATAACCATATTAATCAGATATATTTTATAAAGTTATATAATAATTATTGTAAATGTTAGATCTCTATAATAAAAAATATAATATAATTTTTTTTTTAAAATTTTTTTTTATTTATTTTTTTTTTAATTATTTAAAGTATTTGTAAAATATCTTAACATACAAATATTTGAATGGAATAACTCTTGAATTTTTGACCAAGGAGTATTGAAAGCTAATAATAATTGTCTTAAATCTCTTTTGAAATCTGGAGTATAAAGTAAATAACCATGAACTTTAAGGGTAACGCTAAGTATAGATTGAATGAAATCATAGTCATTATTTGATAATAATTGATAGACTATGAAATCGAACATATAATGGATATCAGCATAATCATCGGTGGAGGTTAATGTTCTAATTTCAAAATCGATACCAGAAGGTGCTAATGATTTTAATATTGATAAACTTGATGAATAATCTTGATTTTTATAACCTTGTTCTAAAGATAAATTAAATTTAGTTCTGGTACCTTGTAAAGTATCTGTTCTAATAACCCTATCTGATAAATGAACTTCTTTTTCAGTTTTATATTTCTTTGTTTTTTCAAATTGTTCCAACTCTTCATCGTCCATGACATCTTCTGGATCAACTGGATTACCATCTTCATCTACAATTTCATCATCATCATCTCCACCAGCCCAATTATCCCAACCTTCTAATTTTTCTTCTTCTTCTTCTTGAGCATCAGCTGATTCACCATTTTCTTTAACTTGTGGGGTGAGTGGATTAACAATATCTGCCTTGACGAATTTTGGTTCTAAACCTTCGATGGTGGATAAAAAGAATGGTGCTAATTCTGGTTTCGCCTTTTGTTGAATTGGTCTATTTCTTTCTTTAATAATATCTAAATTTAAAAGGGTTTGCCATTTGCTTTTGGCAATATCTTGTGATAATGTAATTAAACTATCGATTTGTTTAATTTTAGATTTTCCGTCTTCTTCATTTGAATCACTATCGTCGCTATCCATTTCTTGGTCGCTATCATAATCTGGTATACCTAAATCTTGATTTATTTCACCCTCTTGTTCTTCTTGTTCTTCCTCTTGTTTTGTTTTATTTTTTTTATTTGACGAAATATTTTGAGTAATTTCAACTACTTGTGATGGTAAATTAATAATACGTGGTTGGGTTGGTGGCTCTTTGAGGAAAACTGAACCAAAATGGAATTGATTACTCCATAAATAGATTGGAAGCTGACCGGTATGAGTTGTTATTAAATATTCGCCTTTTGGTGAAAAACTGATGCTTGTAATTGGTTTTGGCATCTTGAACCAATCAATCATCTTGCCTGATGGAATATCGAAAATACGAATTAATGAATCATTATCTGTACAAACTATAACCCAACGACCATCGTGATTAAAAATAGCATCAATAATTTTTCCATTGATTTTGAATTTTCTAACCATATTTCTTGTTTCAATATCAAATAAACGTACATAACGATCGTCTGAACAAACTGAAAAAATACCTGAATCTTGATGTAAATTCATTTTTGTAATTCTAATTCTCTTTTCTTCCTCTTCTTCTTCCTCTTCTTCCTCCATTTCTTGGTCAGAATCTTGCTCTTCTTGTTTTTGCTTTTGTTGTTTTTGCTTTTGTTGTTGCTTTTCATCTCTGACAATGTCATTTATATCTATTGTGTGTAATAATGATAAAGTTTTAAAATCCCAATAGTTTATACATGAATCTAAACCACTTGTAATAATATATTGATTTGTTGGTTCAACGAGAATTGAGGTAATTGCTGTTTTTTGTGGGCTGATGGCTTTTGCTCTTTTGATACCAGATTGAATGTTAAATTTGTAAATGTTACCAAAAACAGTACCAAAGAATGCGAAATTACCGCATGATGAGATTTTAGTAAAGGAAATTGGTGATTTAATATTAAATTGTTTTTTAACAGATAGCTCGCTGCAATCCCAAGAGAAAGCAATTTTTGAGTCATTATGGATAGATACAGCAGTTTCCCAACTACGATTTCTACGGAAATTTGATGAGAAGCCCTTGAATGATTTCATTTCATTTTTCATTTTCTTTTTTGACATTTCGTGATTAATAGTTGAGGCAGCTAAAGAAATATAACGTATTGATTGATTTGACATTGAAACAATTGAATTTTCATCATCGCCAAAGAATTCGGTGGCCTTTGGTGGATCTAAATGACCGGCACGCTCTCTTAAAAGTACAGGTAAACCATCTACACCATTAAAGTTCCACATTTTAATTGAATTATCAAAACCAGTCGAAACAAGAATTGGCTCTTCACGAAGGAATTGAACTTTTGAGCATTCTGAGCCATGAGCTAAAACCATATGATGAAATTGTTTATTCTTTTCTAAATCCCATACTAAAATATCACCAGCTGGACCACTAGATGCAATATGTTGTTTAAGACCGTCAGTTCTAAATGAAATTGAATTTACACGACCTTTTTGTTGATATTTAACTAATGATTTATCTAACTTTATATTGTGAATTATAATGGTGCCATCATTAAAACCAATTGCTACAACGTCTAAAACTGGTGATTGTTCGATGGTTGTAATTGACTCTTGAATACCAAATGCTTTAAAAGTATAAATTTTCTTTTTTGTTTTAATATTCCAAAGTTGTAATTCTCCTGATTCGAAACCAATTAAAATTTTGTTAAAATAACCTGTTGGATGAATAAATGATGTGATTCTGTGTGTTGATGCATCAAACTGTGGTAATTGTTCTTCAAAAATTAAACGACTGTTTATATCCCACATGAAAAATTCATTATTTTTTGTTAATGAAAATAATATATTATCTAAAACCATGATCTTTGTGACTGTTGATGAATGTCCTTTAAATTTAAATTCTAAATTTGGTCCTTTCCATAAATTTATTTCTTTTTTATTATTTGTTAAACAATATTCTTTTTTATAAAAACCCATACTTCTAATTTTGCCTTCTTGCGAATTTGATATTAATCTTGGGTGTAATTTAATTGACTAATTTTAAAATATTTAAAATAAAAATAAATTAGTATTTTTTGTTTGAAACTTTATCAAATTGATTAATCTGAAATACATACATTTAATAATTGAAATGAATTGCCAATTGCCAACATAATTGAATAATGAAGGTTTTCGGCTCTAAGTTGGAATGGTACACCAGAGCTTACATATCCAATTGATTTATAAGGATAAAAAATTTGTGATCCTGATTCTATTTTTTCCATTTTTTTATTTAATAATAACTTTAAACAATCGAATGAATAAAATATATATATAAGAGGACCTTTGATGCTATAAATATGAAAAAAAAAAAATTCGTTTTTTTAAAAAACGAAAAATAAAAAAAAAAAAATAAAAAAAAAAAAAATTTAAAAAATAAAAAAATAATTTAAAATAAAAAATTTTATTCTTTGTAATATTTTTATTTATAATCATAATATCCGGAACCATAACAACTATTTAATTTTACAACTTTAAAAATTAATTGAATATTATTTTATTTATTTATTTTTTTTTTTTTTTTTTTTTTTTTTTTTTTTTTTTTTTTTAAAATATTATTATTTTCTAAACAAATAATCTATTTAAATATATACAATATTTTTTTTAAAATAAATACTAAAATAACACATTTTATAAAAATATGATTATATATATTAAAAATATATATAATAAAGGAAATGATGATGGAAGTACAGAATGAGAAAATTTTTGATAAATAAAATAAAAAAAAAAAAAATTAAAAAAATTTTTAATTTTATTTTTTTTAAAATTTTTTTTTTTTTTATAATTTTTTTTTTATTTTTTTAATTTAAATTGTGAAGTTGTTTTTTTATAATTTTTTTTTATTTTTTTTTTCACTTTAATTTATTGTTCAATATAATTACACATAATTTATTTTTAATTTATAGTTATTGTTTTATAATTTTATTTTAATATTCTTTTTGTAAATAATACCAAATATTAAATATAGTTTTAAATAATAATTTAGTTTCTTTTTGTTTTTTTTTTTAAATAATATATACACCTTATTTTTTTATATTTTGTATAACAAATAAATAGCACACACATATAAATATAAATATGGTTAGCAAAGAAGATGTCGAAGATGATTTATTAAATGAAACATCACCAATTGCATTAGATGAAGGTGATATTGCACTTTTAAAATCATATGTAAGTAGTGATTATTCTTTTTGCAAATCAAGCATCAATAAAATAGATAAAAGTAATAATGTTTGTTTATTGACTAATAATTTTATTTTTAAAATAATATTTTAGGGTGTTGGACCATATTCTAAATCAATTAAAAATTTAGAAGATGATATTAAAAAGATGATATCTAAAGTAAATGAAATATGTGGAATTAAAGAATCTGATACAGGTATTGGCCCACCATCACAATGGGATTTAGTTGTTGATAAAACTTCAGCACATGAAGAGCCACCTTTACAAGTTGCAAGATGTACCAAAATTATTGATGTTGGTAAGCCAACTGCCAAATATATTATTACTGTTAAACAAATCGCCAAATTTGTTGTAGCTTTAGGTGATAAGCTTTCTCCAACTGATGTTGAAGAAGGTATTCGTGTTGGGTAAATAATAATAATTATAAACACTCTATTTGGATGAATATTATTAAAAATATATGGATGTGCACTTTAATTTTTAAATGTATACTAACACAATTATTTAAATAATTAATTTATATAGTGTCGATAGAAATAAATATCAAATTCAAATTCCATTACCACCAAAAATTGATGCATCAGTTACAATGATGCAAGTAGAAGAAAAACCAGATATTACCTATAAAGATGTTGGTGGTTGTAAAGAACAAATTGAAAAACTTAGAGAAGTCGTTGAAATGCCATTATTACACCCAGAGAAATTTGTAAATTTAGGTATTGATCCACCAAAAGGTGTTTTAATGTATGGTCCACCAGGTACAGGTAAAACTTTATGTGCTCGTGCTGTAGCTAATCGTACCGATGCCGCTTTTGTTCGTGTAATTGGTTCTGAATTAGTCCAAAAATATGTTGGTGAAGGTGCTCGTATGGTCCGTGATCTTTTCCAAATGGCTCGTTCAAAGAAAGCTTGTATTATTTTCTTTGATGAAGTTGATGCAATTGGTGGTGCTCGTTTTGATGATGGTGCTGGTGGTGATAACGAAGTTCAACGTACTATGTTAGAGTTAATTAATCAATTGGATGGTTTTGACCCACGTGGTAATATTAAAGTTTTAATGGCAACCAATCGTCCAGATACATTAGATCCAGCCCTTCTTCGTCCAGGTCGTTTAGATCGTAAAGTTGAATTTGGTCTCCCAGATTTAGAAGGTCGTGCCCATATTTTCACTATCCACGCAAAGACAATGAGCTGTGCTCGTGATATTCGTTTCGAATTATTAGCTCGTCTTTGTCCAAATTCAACTGGTGCAGATATTAGATCCGTTTGTACTGAAGCTGGTATGTTTGCAATTCGTGGACGTAGAAAGATTGTTACAGAAAAAGATTTCCTTGAAGCCATTGATAAAGTAATCAAATCATATGCAAAATTCAGCGCAACTCCTAAATATATGATTTTCAATTAAATAGTTATAGTAATAATAATAAAATAATAATATTTAAAAAAAAAAAAAAAAAAGAACCTTGGCTTTGTTTCAATTTTTGTAAAGGGTTTTAATAAAGTTTTATTTTTTCATTTGTAAAATCACTTCTTATAAATCTTTTTTTTTTTTTTTGTTTTAATTTTTTTCAAATATATATAATCTTATTTTATTTTAAATAAAATTAATTTTCCCAAAAGCTGATGAATTTTTCTTTCATTTGCTTTGTATTATTATAAATTAATTTATTTTTAGAAATTTTTTAAATAGTTATATATACCATAATGTCCATTACAAATTATTTTCTTAATTAAAATAATTAATTTTTATTGCTGACAATCTAAACCAAAAAAAAAAAAATATCTATTAATTTTATTTTATTTTTTATTTTTTTATTTTTATATTTTATATTTTATATTTTATATTTTATTTTATTTTTTTTATTTTATTTTATTTTTTATAATAATAATTATGGAATAACCAAAAAAAAAAAAAAGAACAAATAGAAAATTTCTTTTACTTTTTTTATATTTAAAAATCGGCAAATAAAATTTTTATTTTTTTTTTTTATTTTTTTTTTAAATTTTAAAATTTTTTTTTTTTTTAACCACTTTTATATTTATAAACAATTATAAGTTTTTTTTTTATATATATTTTAGTTTTATAATAGTATTTATTATATAGACTATATAATATATATATAAAAAAAAAATGTCATTTTTCAAAAATTTACCAAAGGTAGAGGTTGGAGATGACTGTGAGGGCGGAGTTTGAGCAAGGCCAACTTCATCAGCATCATCAATTAATAAAACAGTTGGTGATGAGTCTACCCCATTAATTTCAAAGACATCTGATGAAGAAAAAGATATTGCTTGCTCATCCTCACCATCCTCTGATCAACCACAAGAAGAACAAAGTAAAAAGCCATTAATCATCTCAATTCTTACAGTTTTAATTTCAATTCCAGCTTTAGTTGGTTCTTGATGTTGGCCTATCCTTCTAAGCAGCATTCTCGGTATTGCTGTTTCAGGAGCTTCCGTCACATTTGCCCACGCCATTACTTATGCCATTACATTAGCTATTTTATCCAATTTAGCTCAATACCATTACCACAAATGTCAATCTAGACCAAGAGAAAAAGGCCATTGGCACAAATATGGACCATTTTATCTTACTTTATTGGCTGTTCCTTTAGCAACTTTTGATATTCTAAGACATATTTTAGTAGATAACCAACTTTGGGTAAATAGACATAAATTTAAAAAATGAAAAAAAAACTTTTTACTAATTTTTTTATGTTATTAGACTGTACATTCATTTGTTTCACCAGCAGCATATAGACCAGGTTGCACACACGAAAATATTAGATGCCTTTCAGTCATGGGTTGGTTTTCAGCAATTATTTTCACATATACAGGTTATGCCCTTTTATTAACTGGTACAATTTGGTGTGCTGAACTCCACATAAAGATCAAAAAGTTATGGCAACAACTCCGTCCAAAAAAGAAATAAACTACGGCTTACATTCAATTAATATTTTAGATAATAGTTAATAATAATAATACAATTCAACTACAAAATTAGAAACTGATTATTTAATGTTTGGATAATTGAGATATTTTAAATTTATGATTTTCTATTTAAATTTAGGTAATGGTAAATTTTTATAGATATCAATAAAATTTAATTTATCAATATTATTATTCAAAAAAAAGAGGTTGTAATGACATTTATCGGTTAAAACTATCCCAGTCACCCATAAATTGATAAACCTTTTTGATTTTCAAGTTTTTTTTTTTATTAAAGTTGTCTTTTTATTTTTATCTACTTTCAAAAACAAAAACAATAAAAAATATTAATTGCATTTTTTTATATTTTAATTTTCATAGCTTTTTTTAAATATCAATCATTTTCTAAAACAAAATAAAACGTTTTTTTTTTTTTTTAAAGTTATAAGAATGATTAAAATATAATTATCATTTATTTTAATTTTTAATTAAGTTATTAATAACTAAAATTTCTGGAGCCACTTGAGCTATTTGAACTATTTGAGGGGGCTAAATATATATTCAACAATTAGTATAATAAAATTAAAAAAAAAAAAGAAAAATATAATTACATTTTTTTCCACCCAAACCTAATAAACCACCTAAAATATTTGAACCCATGTTTTTGAAATAAAGAGATAAAATAAAAGATATAATAAATGAATGCTGCTAAATAATGAAATAATAAAATTTTTTTTTAAAAAACAATATTAAATAATTTTTTTTTGTTGAAATTTTTCTTTTGTGCAACCCTTTTTATGTGCAAAAGTCAAAAAATCTATATTTTATTTTTTTTTGTAACTAATACACCAAATTTATATTTATTTTTTTTAAAAAATCAATTAAAGTCTGCGATGCTAAAGCTGAATTCAAAAAAAGCACAAATTTTTTATTTAATTATTAATGAGTTTAAATTGTTGTATGATGATTTTTTTGATTAAATATTTAATTTTATTTTATTTTAAACAAATAATATTTTATATTCTTTTATCCATTGATTTGTTAAAAGTAAATGTTCAAATAATTTACTTTCCTTCTTTGGGTTATCAAGGTTTAGTTTATTTTTTAAGATTTGATAAATTGGTTCAGGTTTAATAAATTGATGAATTGGTGATGTTGAATCATTTAAAACCAACTCCATATGATCACATAAATGATAAAAGAAATTGATATCACAAGAAAGAGGATATGCACTTTTTCTACGATATTGGATTTCTTTTGGTAAAAGATTGCCAATTGAACGACGTAGTATACCCTTTTCAATATTATCAATTGATTTTATATCAAAAGGAATATTCCAGCAATATTCAATTAAATCATGATCGCCAAATGGTACACGTACTTCAATTGAATTTGACATACTGCATCTATCTTTTCTTTCTAGTAAATAATGGCCAAGATTTTTAATGAAAAAGTAAGATAATATTCTTTGTTTCTTTTGTAATTGATTTTCTTCACCAACATTATCTTCATCCATTAAATATGGTACTTGATTTATTAATTCATCAAATTTTCTATCTTTAAAATTTTTATAGTCTAATTTTTCTAAAATTTCATCTTTTAAATAGAGATTATAATCATTATATAATTCTACACCAACTAATGTTGGAAAAATATCATTTGAAATAACTCTTTCATCATAAAACCATGTATATCCGGAGAATACTTCATCTGATAGTTCACCTGATAAAATTACTTTACAATTACTTGGATCATTTTTAATTTCATTAAATAATTGAATCATTGAGGTATCAGCATTTCCAATACTGGGATAATCAAAAGCTTTAAGTGGTTTATAAATATTGAGATCAAATAAATTATTTTTTGAATTAATTAATACCGTTTTATGATTAGTTGAACAATCTTTTGAAACTAATTTGGAAAAAGGTTCATCAATATCTCTATGTAAATAATCTTCTTGAAAATCAGATTCTTCATTTTCAAATGATAATGAAAATGTATTAAGTTTTGAATTGGGCTGAATTTCTTTTGATGTAATTGCAACAATTGAGCTTGAATCAAGTCCGCCTGATAATAAAAATCCAACAGGTTCATCAGAAACTAATTGTTTTTCAACACTTTGTTTAAATAGTTTTAAAACTTTATTTGTTGTTTCTTCAATATTATCTGTATGTTTTAAACTTTTTAAATTCCAATATTCAATAATATTCATTTTAAAATTTGTATATTCTTGACATTTGGATGATGGCGAATTAATATTGACTTTTTCATTTGGTTTATTATTTTCTATTTTTTTAAAATTAATATAATTTCCGGCAGGTACACTCTTGATATCTCTATAAATACAATTATCTGGTGATTTAAATGGTCCCATTGTAAATAAATTATTTAAACCTTCAACGTCAACATATGGTTTAACTGATGGATGAGCTAATAATACTTTAATTTCAGAACCGAATAAAATTGTATTACCATCATCCCCAATAATAGTATAGTATAATGGTTTTACACCAATACGATCTCTTGCTAAAAATAATGAGGATATTCTTTCATCATAAATTGCAAATGCAAAAACTCCATTAAATTTTGATAAACATTTTTCACCCCATTCAATATATGATAATAGAATAACCTCTGTATCAGATCTTGTTTTAAATTTATGACCAAGTTTTTCCAATTCTATTTTTAAATCTTGAAAATTATATAATTCACCATTATATGATAATACTACCGATGATGATAATTGATTACCGTGGTCATCAACACCATCTTTTTTATATATCATGGGTTGTTTGCCACCTTCTGCATCAATAATTGTTAATCTTCTATGTGCTTTATATAAAAAATAGTTTATTAAAAATTAATTCGATGAAATAATAATAAATATAATAATAATAATAATATTATTTTAATATATTACCAACTAAAGCATGGTTTGAAAAATAAAAACCCTCTCCATCAGGTCCTCTATGGATTATAGAATCATTCATTTTTTTAATAATTTCATTTTGATTTTTATTATTTATATTAATTGACCAATTAACTATACCGCTAATACCACACATTTTTTATTATATATGAATGAGTTAAATTAATTAATAAAATAAACAATAACAAATATAGTTTTTTAAAAAAGATTTAAAATAATATTTAAATAAAAAAAGTTTTATTTCAAATATTTTATAATTATTTTTTCAATTTTATTATCTTTTGTATTTTAAGTTTCAAAAAATATATATATAATAAAAGGGTTTAAATTCTTTATAGATCTTGACTTTAAACCTTCCAAATTATCAAATAAAAAAATTTAAATTAGTAATAAATCTTGACTATAATATTTAGGGAAAATCTGAATATCCAATATTTTTTTTTTTTAAAAAACACCCCAACTCATTTATTTTTTTATAATTATTTTTGTGATTTAAAATAATTATTAAATTATTATTATGATTTTATCTTAGATTTAACAATTATATTTTATTTTTATTGTAATTAATTAATCTAAGATTTCAAGTAAATTAATAAATAAAAATGGGTTTTTTTTTAGTTTTATAAATTTATTTCTTAATAAGGGGTTGTATATAAGTAATTTAATTGAAATTGTGGGGTATCAATTTTTTAAAAAAAAAAATTATTTAAAAATTTTTAACCACTAAATAAAGGGCATGGTATATATTACTTACTTTTAATTTTGTAATAAAATAATAATTTGATAAAAAAACAGTTTATTTTATTATGTGGTTTTTTTTTTAATTTTATGACATTTTAAAATTAAAAAAATAGAATAATTCGTGTGTTTTTACAGTTTTCAAAAAAAAAAATATTAAGCACCAAAAAGTGACTTTATATATATTTATTATTATTATAAGAAAAAAATTAAAAAACAAAAACATTAAATTTTAAAATAATAAATAATGGATTTAAATTTTTCTAATAAAACTAAAAATATTTGTGAAAAAATGGATGATGAAGAAGGTGTGGCAATTATTGGTTTAGGATTTAGATTACCAACAAGTTGTACTAATGATAATGCTGATGGTGAATATAATTTAAAATATACACCAAATTCCTTTTGGAATAGTTTAATGAATAAATTTGATGGCATAGTTAGTATTAATGAAAGATGGAGTGAAAATTATAATAAACTAGGTGAAATCAGTAATAACTATGCAGGTTTAATACCACTAGATGAATGGAAATCATTTGATCCATTGTTTTTCGGTATTAATCCATCAGAAGTAGCAACAATTGATCCACAACAAAGAGTATTGTTAAAGTGTACTTGGGAAGCATTAGAAGATGCAATGATTGATCCAATTAAATTACGTGGTTCAAATACTTCTGTATTCATTGGTAGTTCAGCCACTGATTATCAAAACATCAATATTGATAATGATGAAGTTTATCCAAATATATTTGGGGTTAGTACATACTCTATTGCAAGTAGAATTTCATATTGTTTTAATTTCAATGGTCAATCAGTTACAATAGATACTGCATGTTCGTCATCATTGAATGCTATTCAATTAGGTTGTACTTCAATTCAAAATGGTACTTCAAATGTATCAATTGCTGGTGGTGTTAATTTAATATTAAGTATGTATATTCTTGTTTAAAAATTATGAATAGTTGTATATCATTGTTAACATTTTATTTAATATTACTAGATCCAAACATTTCAAAATCATTTGCATATTTAAATGTTTTAAGTAAAACTGGCAGATGTAAAGTATTTGATGAGTCAGCTGATGGATTTGTTCGTTCAGAAGGTGCAGGTGTTGTTGTATTGAAAAATTTAAAACAAGCAATCAAAGATGGTAATAATATTTATTGTATTATCAAAGGTTCAAGTTCAAATGTTGATGGTAATGGTTTATCTGATAAATCAAATTTCTATTCGCCATCATCTCAATCACAAGCAGATAATATTAAATTAGCATTAAAATCAACCAATGGTAGTGTTAATGCATCTGATATTGATTATGTCGAAGCACATGGTACTGGTACACCAACTGGTGATCCAATTGAATTAAAAGGTATTTCAATGGTATTCAAAGATCACAGACCACATTCAAATGCTCCATTACTAGTTGGATCAATTAAATCAAATATTGGTCATTGTGAATCAGCATCAGGTGTTGCCTCATTAATTAAATGTTGTTTAATGTTTAAACATCAATGTTTTGCACCTAACATCCACTTTAACAAACCAACACCATTAATTAATTTTGAAGAAAGTAAAATAAAAGTTGTAACTGATCCAATTCCATTTAATCCAAATAAAAAAGTATCAATTGCCATTAGTAATTTCGGTATTACTGGCTCAAATTGTTGTTTAATTTTATCACAATATAAGCCACAGGCACCACAACATATCCTTAACCAATCAAATAAAACAAAAAAAATATATCATCAACAATATATAAAATCATATGATAGAGAATTAGAATCACCAATCAAAAGAGGTGCAAAAATTTCTAATTCTGAAAATATTTGTCAAGATAGATTATTTCATCAACAGATTGATGAAAAAGTTCAATATTTACCACCGATTACTTCAAAACTATTAATACCATTTTCAGCCAATTCAGTTAAATCATTAAACCAATATAAATCAATTATAGAATCCAAATGTAATGATTTAAAGTTTAGTGACTTTGCTCACCTTCAAATTCTAAATAAACCAACATCTCTTTATCAAAGATCTGTAATTTTTGCAAGTAATTGGAATGAATTTAAAGAAAATTCAAATATAATCAAATCATCAAATACCAAATCATCTAATATGATGTTATCAGCAGATATAAAGAAAATAATTACAGTATTTGTATTTTGTGGTCAAAGTTCGCAATATAATACAATGGCATTGGAGTTATATAATAATAATGAAATATTCAAACAATCAATGGATTTATTAGATTGTGAACTTTCAAAATATTATGGATATTCAGTATTGGATAAATTAAGATCAATCAAAGATGATGATATTATTTCAATCCATGATCCAACTTATGCACAGCCAGCCATTTGTATGGTTCAAGCATCATTGGTACAATTATATAAGCATTGGGGTATTGAACCATCATTTTTAGTTGGCCATAGTTTAGGTGAGGTTACAGCATCATACTGTTCAGGTATGATTGATTTAGATACTTTCTGTTATGTTGTTTATCATAGATCAGTATTACAATCAAGTACTAGTGGTTGCGGTAAAATGTTATCAATCAGTATCAGTTCAGATGAATTCATTTCAAATTACTCATCTAGTTATCAAACAATCGAAATTGCATGTTATAATTCACCAACATCAATAGTTGTTGCAGGTAATGAAGATCAATTATTAAATTTATCAAAAGAATTAAAAGAAAAGGGAATATTTACAGCAATGTTAGGTTCATTATCATCATTTCATACCAGTAGTCAAATGATGATTAAAGATAAAGTTTTAAATTTAAATTTTGAATCTAAACCACCATCAATACCATCATTTTCAACAACAACATCAAATTTATATGATGAAAATACAAGATTTACAGCAGAACATTCATTTCAAAATATTTTAAATCCAGTTTATTTTACACAAACTATCACAAACCTTTATAATCATATTGAAAGTAATCAATTGGGTAATGAAATTGTATTTATTGAAATTGCACCACATCCAACATTATCATTTTATTTAAAACAAATGGTACCAAAAAAGAGTAGCACAACATCAAATTACTTTAAAGATGGTGAATTTATATCAATTTATTCACCTTTGCACAAGAAAAAGAATGATTCTCTTGAAATTAATCAACTGATTTCGAACTTATATTGTCAAAATAGATATAATATTAATTTTAAATGTCAAATATCAAATGATGTAGATTTTTCAACTGCAGAAGAACCAATATTCTACCATGGTTTAATAACACCACCTGGGCCATCAAAGAAATTAAATGTTTTTCAATTACCTCTTTATCAATGGGATGATCAAAAATATTGGAAATCTAGTTTTATTCATCAAAATAAGATATCAAATGGACCACCAATTGATCATTTAGGTATTATTAATGAATATTCACCAAATATCAAATCATATGAAACATATATTAATATCAGTAGAGATCCACTAAAATGGTTGAAGGGACATATGATTAAAAATAAATACTACTTTCCAGGTTGTGGTTACATTGATAATATATTAAAGATTTATCCAAAACAAGATTTAACAATTGATTATCTCGAATTCAAATTACCATTGATTTTAATTGATGGTGTTAATCAATATTTACAAACTAATATATCACAAACTGGAAAAAAAGATTACAAAGTCCAATTCCATTTCAAAGATAACAAAACAAATCAATGGGTTAATAGTTCAAATGGAAACATTCAGTTGTTAAGTCATGATACCATGAATGATGATAATATATGGATAGATTTAGAAAGTATAAAAAATCAATGTAACTTAACTAAATTATCAAAGAATGAACTATATCAATATATTAAAATGAAAACTGGATTATCATACACTGGTTATTTTCAAGGAGTAGAACAAGTTTATTTAGGTGATGATTGTTCATTATCAATTGTATCAACTAAACAACCAAACGAAAATTCAACTTCATTTTTCCACACATCAATTTTAGATTGTTGTTTACATGGTATGATTGGATTAATTGATGAAAAATGTCAACTTATTTTTGAAAAGATCGAAACATTAAAATATTATTCATCAAATGTACCAACTATCGCCAAAAGCAGTAATGAGTGTATTTCTGTATATTCTAAAATTAACTCAAGAATGGATAATTCATTTTCAGCATCGATTACAGTTTGTTTAATGGATGGAACAGTATTATTAGAAATTGAAAATGTTGTTTGTAAATCATTAACACCTGTTAAAGATTCATTATCAATTGAATATCCAAACAATGAATTATTTACACCATATCTTCAATCTATAGAATCATTAATACCATCACCATTATCTACGCAATTTAAACCTCTTTATAAAAAAAATGAAACCATTTCAAAACAACTTCAAGTCACAAGCAATAAAATATTTCAACAATTTATTCCAAGATTATTACTATCATATATAAATAGTAAACATAAGGAAATTACGTTACAGTTAATCAAATCGTTAACTATTGACCAATTGAAACAAAAATATTGTACAAACAATATTAAATACGAAAGATTATTTGTATTTGTATTTGAATCAATTAAACTATACATTGATGATTGTAATGAAGATATCAATACAACTATGAAATTATTAAAAAATCAATGGAATGGATCAAATGTTGATAATTATTTATTTTTAACAAAATCTACCAGAATTATATCAAAACTATTATTCCCATTAGTAAATGAAGATACAAGTATCGATACTCCTCAATCACTATTTGAGGATGGTTTGATGGATGAATTTTATAAACATCCTAGTCTATTATACCAAAATGAATTAGTTGGTGATATTATTATAGAATGTATTAAACCAATAATTAATGAAAAGATGGTATTCAGAATATTAGAATTTGGTGGTGGTACATGTTCATTGTCAATACCGGTATCGGAAAGGATTAATAAATTACTTGAAGAATACCCATCTCATGAAATTGATATTGAATATACATGGAGTGATGTTTCAACTTCATTTATTCCAGATGCAAAAAATAAACTATCAAAAATATTCAAAAACACCAATATCAGTATCAATATCATTTATAAAGCACTCGACCTTGAACAATCATTAATTGGTAGTGATAAACTATTATTCGCATCCCATTATGATATCGTTATAATGTCAAATGTATTACATGTTGTAAAAGATGTTAAATTTGCTTTAAAACAACTATATGATTTATTATTACCAAATGGCCATTTATTATTTACTGAACCAATACACAAATCAATACTCAATGATAGTATTTTTGGTGTATTTGATCAATGGTGGGCTTTCACTGATACTGATATTAGAAAAGATAGATGTACAATGGATCAAGATTCTTGGAGAAATTTATTAACTCACTTTAATTTTCAAAATATTGAAATGACAATTGAAATACCTGATAAATCAAAGTGTTATTTAATTCAAGCACAGAAACCATCATTAGATAGTATTATTCAAATTTCAAAAAAATCAAACTTCACTTCGGATCATAATGAAAAAAATAATTTAATTTTTTATAAAAATTCCAATAGTAATAGTTTAGAAAATGAATTTATTCAAAAAACAATCAATAATACAAATATAAAAACAAAGATATATCAAGTTTCAAATATTCAAGATTTCAATAATTTAATAAAATCACCAAGTGGTGTTAATAACCAATCTATCATTTATTTCACAAAATCATTAGATCTATTGAATTCAGAAAATTTTAAACCAATTACATTAGAATATATTCAAATTAATCAAACATTATTAGAATACAAACTAAATGGTTGTAAACATATATTATTATCATCAGATTCAACAGGTATTAATTATTTGGCATCATCAATTATTGGTTCATTTAGATATTTTTGTGATTTCCCTCAATTAAAACTATACTCTATATCATTGGAATCAATTTCAAAGAAATTAAATAATAGTTTTCCAATGGTATTACAATATTTAATTAATGACGATCCAATCAAAAACACTATTCAAAAAGAATTTATATTCAAAAATAATAAAGTATATTATGAAAGATATAAACAAGAATTAAAATTAAAGAATTCATTCAAATCATCATCTTTTGAAGTAGGAAATAGTACTAGTGGTATTAATAATGATAGTGTATTTGCAATATTAACACAAAATTTAGAGTATCAATTAGAATCAAAACAATTGAAGTTGGATGATAATGAAATTGAAGTTAAAATAATGGCAGGTGGTATTAGTTATAAAGATTATTTAGTATATGCAGGTTTAATACCACCATTACGTACTTTCAATAGAAGGAATGATGCTAATAAACCAAATATTGGTGATTGTTTTTCAGGTATAGTAACAAGAGTTGGTGGTAGTGGTGGTTCAGATATACAATTTAAAATTGGAGATCAAGTTTATGGTATTGGTTTTAATACAATTGCTTCACATGTTGTTGTAAATAAAAAACATGTATATTATAAACCATCAAATATTACTCATTGTGAAGCTGCATCAATACCATCAGTTTATTTAACAAATCTTTATAGTTTTTTCAGTGTTGGTGATTTAGATATTGAAATGAAAGAAAGTATATTAATTCATTCGGCTGCGGGTGGTGTTGGTTTATCAGCATTGGAAATATTAAAATGGAAAGGTCATAAAGGACCAATATTTGCAACTGTTGGTTCCAAAGAAAAAGAAAAATATCTTTTAAATAATTATGGTGATATTATAACTGCGGTTTATTCATCAAATAATAGAAACTATTCTGATAAAATTAAACAAAAATTAAAAGAAATTGGATGGAAAAACCAAGATGGTGTTGATTTAATTTTAAATACTTTATCAAGTGAGTTTATGGATGCAAATTTTAAATGTTTAACAACCAAAGGTAGAATTGTAGATTTATCTATCACTCATTTAAATTATAATGAATACACTTGTAACAATAAATTCAAATACAACAAGGGTTATCACAATATTGAATTAATGTTTGTTTCTGGATCAACCATTTCAAAACTATTAAAAAAGACAACAGAAGCAATTGAAAATGGAAAGTTAAAATTAATTCCAATAATAGAATTTTCAAACTCAAATATAAAAGAATCAATTGAATTTATTAATAAACGTAAATATATTGGTAAAATTGTAATAAACCATCAAGATACTGATATCATAAAAGAATTACTTTCAAAACAATCATCTTTATCAAACTTTTCAATTTTAAAATCAAATTATGAAATCAACAATTTAGGTAGAAATATTATAATAACAGGCCAATCAGGTATTGCATTAGAAATATTAAAGTGGATTGTAACATTTGGATCACATTGTGTTGATAATATAATAATACTTTCAAAATCATCATTAAAATGGGAATTAGAATTATTAATAAACAAAACAACAAATTTAATAAATAATAAAATCAAATTCCATTTCAAGAGTGTTGATGTTTCCAATACAGAACTAATGAATAATGCAATCGATGAAATATTATCAATTGATCCATCAATTAATAATATTGATTCAATATTACATTATGCATTCACTCAAATTGATTGTAAAGTTAATGAAATTGATATTCATCATTTAAATGTATCACATGGTGCTAAAACAATGGGTGCAATTAATCTTCATAATCAATCAATTAAACGAGAATGGAAACTATTAAACTTTATTATGGCTTCATCAACTGCATCTGTTTTAGGTTCAGAAGATCAATGTAGTTATGTAAGTGCATGTAATGTATTAGATAATTTATCAAAATATCGTATATCACTTGGATTACCTTCAATCTGTGTAAACTATGGTTATATTGAATCGACCGGCTTCGTTGCAAAAAATGATTCAGTTGCTGCAATTTTGGTGGATCGTGAAGGTATAGAACCAATTTCAACTAATAAAATTTTAGGGTCTTTAGATTTACAAATTCAAAATCAAAATCAATCTACAAATTTAGTATTTTGTAATTTTAATTTCAAAAATATCAAAAACAATAACAATTTTAAATTCAATGATCAATTATTTTTAAAATTTGATTATCAAATTAATTCAGTTATATCAGATCACAACAACATTGTTAAAAATGATCTAACAGATAGAAATTCAAAAATCAGTGATATATTTTTAAACAAGATCTCGGAATTATTATCAACTGAAACATCAAAAATCTATACAGGAGGTAAATTATTAGATTATGGAGCAGATTCATTATTTGTTGTACAATTAAAGAATTGGATTGATAAAAACATTTCCCCAAATTTAATTTCAATTAAACAACTTCAAAGCAATTCAATAGATGAATCAATTCAAACTATTACCACTCATTCAATTTGTAAATAAAAAAGAAACTATTAAAATAAATATTTTTTAAATATATTGTAAAAGCGGTCCAAGTTTGCCCACACATTTATTATTTCAAAATTTAGTGAAAAAATGTTAAAAATTTAATTTTTTTTTTTTTTTTTTTTTTCGAATTTAAAATATTTTAATTTTTTTTATTTTCACAAAAACATATTTTTTTTCTAAAATATATTTCATACAAAACTATCGACATGATAAATTTTAAAAATATTCCGGAAGAAGCTTTAGATTATATTAAAGAGTGTGTCCCAATAAACCTTAGCTCTTTTTTCCATTGGGAAAATTTTAATCATAAGTTCCCAAAAGTTCCTTTTGCCTCCTTCCAAAAAGCATTTGATAAATTTAGAAAAGACTATTTTAATTCAAGTATCTCTTTAAAAAAAAGTCAAAAAATTAAAAAGGAGTCAAAAAGAGAAAAAGAAGGTATTAGAGGAAGTTCTAACTCAACTTTGAAAAAATTAAAGTCTTCAAAAGAGCTTGTCATTTTTTCAGATCAAAGCCCAATGGATATCGAAATCTGCCAAAAAAAATGTAAATTAAATTTATTTTTTCAAAATTTTTAAAAAATTAAAATTAATTTTTTTTTTAATTTAGATACAATTGAAGCAACTCCCACGAAGTATGAGTTTTTTCTTATTAACAATTTAGAATTAGGTTTTCCATTAATTTATAAATTTTGTTATTCAATGAAATTTGTGTTTCAAATTCCAAAATATGGTGTTTTGATTATAAATCCAGGAATATACAATGGTAAAAAAGTTGATCCTCAACTTTTGAAAATAAAAGGATATCCAGAAGATGAATATTATTTTGGTTTCAAATACCATATGATGATTCCTCAAAAAAACCAACTTGCTAATGTCATGTCTCAAGAGGATCTTTCGAAATGGGATGATGGACATAAATATTCAATTTTAAAAAAAATGGTCATTCCGCTCGGTTTCCATCACGTTCTCCAGTCAGAAACCGCTAACATGCAGTTGTATAACCATGTTGAAAGATTATTAACCAACGATACAATCGAATTCACATTGTCAGTTGTAACAGTTGTTGAACCAACATTGTAAAAACAATAAAAATTTATTTATTTAATTGGGAAATTAAAAAAAATTAAAATTAAAATTTTTTAACCCAAAAAACACAAATTATTTTTTCATTTTTTTTTTTCATTTTTAAATTTTATTAAAAAAAAACATAATAATACCATGGTATTGTTTTGTAATATTAATATTATTTGTAAAGAGATTTTATTATATTTTTATGTGTTATTAATAAATCCTTGCATAGATTTACCAATTGTAACTTCAATTTTGGATATTTCATCTCTATTTTTTAATTTATTATTTAAATTAATAATAGGTGTAATATTTATATATATTGTATAACTTTAAATGATCCAATATGATTATGATTTAAAATTATTATCATATATTTTCATAATAAAATATCTGTAAATCTCAATTCTTTCAATATTTTTAATTTGATAATGTTACTGGTCGACACACTGAAACAATTTTTTAAATTTTTTAAATTCTAAATACATTATATTAGAATCATTGATATTTTGCAAAAATTATAATAAATTGAATAATTTAAAAAAAATTGGTTTTTTTTTTTTTGATAATCTTAAAAAATTATTTTTATTAAGATATTAATATTTTATGTGATATTATTTGATATAATATTATTTATGGTGACCAGCCTTTATTTGCTAAAGGAGCACTGAATAATTGGTTGGTTTGTCCTAAAAAAAAAATTAAAATTTAATAAAAAAAAATATTATTTTTAAAAATTTTAAAAATAATTACCAACAAATCTATTTGCACCTGCTAAACGACTGGTTCTAGCGCTTGCTAATCTGTCAAAAGGATCCATAGCTTAATTAATGAATACAATATGCGAATGTTATGTGATCTATTGAATAAAAAATGATAAAATGAAATAATTTGTAGAAAATAATTAAGAAAAAAAAAAAAAATCAAAAAAAAAAAATCAAAAAAAAAAAAAAAAAAAAAAAAAAAAAAAAATCAAAAAAAAAAAATCAGAATGTTCGTTAAGATGGGAAAGGATTAATATAACTATGGTGGGAATTCTCCCTGTTCGAAGAAAAATATCAAGATTATTACACAACTTAATTTTAGTTTTTTTTTTTTTTATTTTGTAATTTATAAAAATATGAAAAGGTAATTATTTTTATTTATTTTAATTTTTTATTTAAAATATTATTTTTAAGATATAAATGGCAAACATTGAAGTTACCAAGCATATTAATACCATCAATATACATAATCTACTTCTATACTCTTTATGGTATCTATTGGTATCCTCTAAATTGGATATGGTGGCAATGGTGGAACCCTCCACATCATTTAAATTGTTTTCTATGTTATCCAAAACCCCACTTTGCTGATTAGCCAAAATACTGATATCATTGAATAATGATGATAAATCTGCAATCGATACCAACAGCTGTCTAATTTCTTTGTCTCTTTTGGTGATATTTTCAGTCATTTCATCTACCATTGCTATTTGCTCAGTTGTAAACCCAAATGAAAAAGTTTCGTTTTCTTCATCATCGTCATCAAAATCTTCAACCTTAGCTCTATTGTTTTTATAAATATCTTGAAATGAATTGGTCCTTTTTTGAAGTGCTGATAAATATGATCTTTGTATTTGTCTAAAGTAAAGTGATAATACATGTAGTTTATCTAATTTTGAGGCCTGTATATTTTTCTTTAGTTTTAAATGATCTCCTGATATATTTGAGTCTAATGAAAATCGATTTATTAAATCTTTAGTTTTATGAAATAGCTATATAAATTGTTATTAGAAAAGATGTAAATAATTATATTATAAAACTCTATTTAAATATTTACTCTTGTAATTTCCTGAGTTGTAATTTCGATTGATTTTTCTAATTTACTGGAATCCCCCATGTTGGGTAATAAATTATTAGCATGATAGCTTTTTAATTTAACAACTATATGTAAATTTATAAATGTTAATATTTATAATTATTTAAAATAAAATTAGAATGAATTTACCCAAATCTGAAATTTTAGTTAAACTATTATCTATGTCACTGGTTTTATGTAACCAAAGAGGTAGCATTTCCTCCTCTTGTAATTTTGGTAATTGGCGATAACCTTCATGCACTATTTTTTTACTAGCTCCATCCTTATATGATAGTAAAGGTGCAATACCTGTGAATTCTCTTCCATTGATAACCTCATACTTTTTATGTACTTTTCTACCATTTTGGAATTCGGATTTTAATAATAAATATGAAGGTGTTCTATCTCGAGTTGTCATTGTTAAACTTGTATGTTATGTATGAAATTGTTTTTAATATTAAATTTTGAAATTAATTTATATTTTAAATCTAATTTAAATGTATTTTTTTTTTTTTTGAAATAATTAAAAAATAATTATATTTTTTTTTTTTTTTTTTTTTTTTTTTTTTGTGTGTTTATTTTTAGTAGTGGGGTTAATATTAATTTTTACTTTTTAAATATATACGAAAAAAATAAAATATAAATTAAATGAAAAAAAAATATTTAAATAATTTTGAACAAAAATAAAAAAATATAGAGCATAAAAAAAAAAAATGATTAGATTTCTTTTTTTTTTTTTTTTTTTTTTGATTATAAACAAGTTTTAATTATATATACATTTTATTTATTATTCTTTAAAAAAAAAAAAAAATATGAAAAACATTTAGTTTGTAAAGATTTAATTTAAAATATATTTATATTTTAGTATGGTAAAAAAAATTTTTAAAAGATTTCAATTTTTTTGGCTGGATGGGATTGTTTGAAATCGAAAGCAGCTTGGGCACCACTAGTATAGGTAGTTGAACCACTATCACCACTAGTACCACTAGTACCTGATGCTGAGGTTTGACCTGAAGTGGTGGCACTAGTACCAGATGCTGAGGTTTGACCTGAGCCTATTAAATAAATGTAATAATAATTAATATTTATAAATTTAAATAAATCGCATTTTAAGTTTAAATAAACTTACCAGAGTTTGATGAAGTTGCTGAAGTTTGACCAGAGGTTTGACCGGAGGTTTGGCTGCCAGTAGATTGACCGGAGGTTTGACTACCAGTGGATTGACCTGAAGTTTGACTACCAGTGGATTGACCTGAAGTTTGGCTACCAGTAGATTGACTGGAGGTTTGGCTACCTGATTGGCTACCTGATTGGCTACCTGATTGTGAGTTTGAATCTGATTGTGAACCTGATTGTGAACCTGATTGTGAATTTGAATCTGATTGTGAGCTACCTGATTGTGAATTTGAATCTGAATTTGATGAACCGCTCATTGATGATGAACCTTTACCGCTTGATTCTGATGATTCTGATGATTCTGAATTTGATGAGCCAGAGTGATGACCACTTGATGAACCACCGGTAGTTGATGATTTACCTGAACCACCAGTTGAACCGCCAGTTTTACCACCAGTAGTTGATGATTTACCGCCTGAGCCACCGCCTGAGCCACCGCCTGAACCGCCAGTTTTACCACCAGTAGTTGATGAGTGAGTAGTTGATGGGCCTGTAGTTGATGCATGAGTAGTTGAGGTTAATGGTCTTGGACCAGTAGTTGATGTAGTTGATGAACCACCACCTTGGAAAAAGTCTAAATCTACTGAAACACCACATTGTTGGGTATTACCAGCATATTGTTTCATAGCTGGTGATGACCATGAGCCAAATTGGTAGAATGATGAATCTAAAAAAATAAAGTAAATTAATATTTTTTCTTTTTTTTTTTTTTTTACATAATATCCTAAAAAATCTTTGTATCGCTAAACAATAATTTATCTACAAATTACAAATTATTTGATCCTATTGAAACTTTTTGTCCATATAATATACCATTCCTCATATTCTATTTTTTATTTCCAAATTATATTTTTTTTTTTTTTTTAACTTACCTGAAAAAGCTGGTACATTATCATAATGAGCATACTAAATTATTTAAAATGATTAGTTAGCCTATGAGTAAATTAAAATTAAAAAGAATATTAAACTACCTACCCATAATGGGAAACTTGATAAACTATTTAATGAGCCGACGGTTTGACTCCATTCACCGATACTTGAGTATACACCAACACTAACACCTAATTGTTGAGCAGTTTGAACTGCTTCAACTACAAATTGAGCATTGGTTGAGGTGGAACCCCAACAATTTGAACATTGTTCAACATCTAAATAATTTAGATTAAATGTTTAATTAATAAAAAAAAATAAAAAAAAATAAAAAAATAAAAATAAAATACTTACCAATCCATAAGGTACCAAATTCAACATTTTGACTACGAAGATTGCTTACAAGTGTTTTAATGGCTGATGATGATGGACTATTACCGCTACATTGTGAACATAAGAAGGCATAAAGATCAACAGTTTGAATACCGGCGGATTTAGCGGCGGAAACTGATGAAGCAATATTAGTGTTATAACCATAACCACCAGACCAAACTTGAATGATAGCCTTGGTATTTTGTTTGGCTAAACAACTCCATTGGGTAGAAGTTACAGTTTTTGAAGTTGGTGAACTGATATCAATACCAGTGCCAGCAATAACAACTTTACAAACTAAAATTGAACAAATAATTAAAGCTAAAATAATTCTCATTCTTTAACTTTTTACAATTATTAATAATATGTATTAATAATATTATAAATAAAAAAAAAAAAAAAAAAAAGGAATAAAAAAAAAGAAAAAGGAAATGAAAAAACAATGGAAATGAAAAATTATTTTAAAAACTAAAAAACTATAAAAAAAAAATAAAATTATTTTAAAATAAAAAAAAATAAAAAAAATAAAAAAAAAAATCTTTTTTTGTTTTTTTTGATAAAAATTTTCCTTAACTTTTTCCCAAAGGTCACATATACGATAATGAAAAGTTTTTACAAAAACCCGGTAACTATTTTTTATGCTGAATAAAAATTGGTTGCCTATCCAAAAGCCTGGAGCAAACATTTATACCTCCTAATAATAATTTTAAATTAAAAGAATTATTTTTTGAACCTTCATTTGAAAAAATAGATATTTGATGTAGGAAAATTTAAATTCCTTATTTACTTTTTGTTTATTATAAATTTAATTTATTTTTTTACTCCCACCTTTACAATTTTTTAATGAAATTGAAAATGAAATTTAGAAATGTTTAAAAAACCTATTGATAATCTAAACAGATCCATTATTAATTTGTAAATAAGATGGGAATATTGGTAATTAGATATTATTGATATTATTAGTATTATTAAAAGAAAAAAAAATTAATTAAAAGAGAAAAAAAAAATTTTTAAAATTACAAATGCGCATAAATATTTTTTATTTTTAATTTAATTTCCATAAGCCCAGGTTATGATTGAAACAATTGATATTAAAGTTAGGAATAAAACTAAAGAGACTCTTGATAAAATTTTTGCTTTATTATTTTCGCTATTTAAATATTTAATATTAATACTTAAAAAAAAAAAAAAATATTAGTCCAATTATAATAAATTTTTTATTTTTATTTAATTTTATAAAAAAAACCTACATCCATGTTATTAGAATAAAAAATCCAAATATAAATAATACTAAAGATCCTTTAAAATCCTCATTATACTCTTCATCGTTTCTATCAATATCAATATGTTCTATAAATGACGATATAACTATATGTGGGTTTGATTTATTGAATTCGGAATTATTTTCATTTTCAGTGTTTATATTTGTGTTATCAAATACCATTTTTATTTTTTTTTGTTTTTAAAATTATTATTATTAATACAACAAATAATTTTTAAATAATTAATTTATATTAAAAAAATAATCTTTTTTTTTTTAATAAAAAAATAATTTCATTAATAAGAATAAATTAAATATTTAATTATTATCTCCATAAATTGGGAAAAATAGGTTAGAAAAAAATATTTAATTAAGTGTGGTTATATTTTAAAGAAATAAGAATTTTAATTATTATTGAAAAAAAAACATATTAATATTCCTTATTAATTGTATATTGAGAATGTTTTAATAGTTAAAATTAAAGATTTATAAAAAGAAGGTTAGAAAATAATGTGAGCTTTATATGGAAAAAAATTAATGGTATCACAATAAAATAAAAAATCAAGTTATTATCATTATAACTCCCATTTTTTATTTTTTAAGGTTTTTTATTAAAAGAATTATTTTTTACACAAAGAAAAATTATTAAGTAATAATTAAAGATTAAAAATTATTATCTTTTAATATTAATTCTTAAATAAAAAAGAAAATTTCTTTAATTAAAAAAATTGTGTGTGTGTTCATAGTTTTTTTTTTTACTAAAAATACACACAAATTTTATTATTTCGATTCAAAACAAAATCGAAAGGATCTTATTTAAGTGTTTGCCTTAGCTAAATCTTCATTTGATTATTGTTTTTATGTTTGATGATTAAAACCAAATCTAAAAAAAAGTTATTTGGTTTGTTTATAGTTTTAAAAAAAATAATTGAAAATTTTTTTTTTTTTTTTTTTTTTATATATATTTTTTTTTTATTTATACATTTTATTTATATAATTTTTAAAATTATTATTTTTTAAAAAATTAACGTATTTATAATTCATCATGGTTTGGAATTGATTCTTCTTCACCAGCACCACCGGCAGCACCAGCTTGACCATATAATTTAGAGAAGATTGGTTGAACGATTTTCTCTAAGGCTTTGTATTGTTCGTCGAATTCTTCTTTTTCAGCGGTTGGGTTTGATTCTAAGAAAGATAAGGCATCAGCGATGGCAGTTTCAATAGTTTGTTTGTCATCTTCTTCGATCTTGCCACCAACTTTGTCTTTATCACCAATGGCGTTTTTAATTTGGTAGACGTAGTTTTCTAAACTGTTTTTGGCTTCAACTTTTTCTTTGGCTTTTTTATCTTCTTCGGCGGCTTCTTCAGCTTCTTTGACCATACGATCGATATCAGCTTGTGAAAGACGTTCTTTATCGTTGGTGATGGTAATAGATTCTGATTTGGAAGTTGCTTTGTCGACTGCACTTACGTGTAAGATACCGTTAACATCCATTTCGAATGTAACTTCAATTTGTGGAACACCTCTTTGGGCTGGTGGAATACCTGATAATTCGAATTTACCTAATAAGTTGTTATCTTTGGTCATTGAACGTTCACCTTCAAAGATTTGAATGAGTACACGATCTTGGTTATCTTGGTAGGTTGAGAAAACTTGTGATTTTTTGGTTGGAACAAAGGTACCACGTGGGATTAAAGCGGTCATAACTCCACCAACAGTTTCAATACCGAGTGAGAGTGGGGCGATATCTAAGAGGACAAGTTCTTGAGTTTCTTCATCATTAGCAAAGATACCACCTTGAACAGCAGCACCATAAGCGACGGCTTCATCTGGATGAACACCACGATTTGGTTCTTTACCATTGAAGAAATCTTTTAATAATTGTTGAATCTTTGGAATACGAGTTGAACCACCAACTAAGACGACTTCGTGAATTTGTGATTTTTTGAATTTGGCGTCTTCGAGAACTCTTCTGACTGGTTCAAGAGTCTTTTTGAATAAATCCATATTTAATTCTTCAAATTTGGCTCTGGTGAGAGTTTCAATGAGATCTTTACCATCATAGAAGTTTTCGATTTCGATGGTGGTTTGATGGGAGGTTGAGAGGGCACGTTTAGCGTTTTCAGCTTGTCTTCTGAGTTTTTGTAATGATTTCTTGTCTTTGCTGGCATCTTTACCGGTTTTCTTTTGGAAGACTGATAAGAAATGTTTCATGATTCTTTGATCGAAATCTTCACCACCTAAATGGGTATCACCATTAGTTGATTTGACTTCAAAGACACCTTCTTCGATTGATAAAACTGAAACATCAAATGTACCACCACCAAGATCGTAGACAAGAATGTTCTTTTCTTTACCAGTTTCGGCTTTAAAACCATAGGCTAAAGCGGCGGCAGTTGGTTCATTGATAACACGCATAACATTGAGACCAGCAATTGTACCGGCATCTTTGGTAGCTTGACGTTGGGCATCATTGAAATAGGCTGGACAGGTAACAACAGCGTTGGTAACTTGAACACCGAGTGAAGCTTCAGCGATTTCTTTCATTCTAGTTAAAATCATAGCTGAAATTTCTTCTGGTGAGAAAACTTTGTCTTCACCTTTAACTTTAACAACAACGTGTGGTTTATTATTCTTTGAAATAATTTTATATGGTAATAATTTCATATCACGTTGAACTTCTTCATCGTCAAATCTATATTATAATAAGAATAAATATTAGTAAATAAAACTGATACTATATAATTGATGATGATAATAATCTAATATTTACCTTCTACCAATTAAACGTTTAATATCGAAAACAGTATTTTCTGGGTTAAGAGTGGCTTGATTTTTAGCGGCTTCACCAATAAGACGTTCTGTTTCAGTGAAAGCGACATAGGATGGGGTAATACGATTACCTTGGTCATTTGGGATAATTTCAACTTTACCCTTTTTCATGATACCAACACATGAATAGGTAGTACCTTTATTTAATTAACCATAATTATTATTATTGAATAAAAAAATAAAAAAATAAAAAAAAAATAAAAAATTAATATTTGTTGAAATAAAAAAAATAAAAAGTATATTTTTATATTTTTAGAAAATATAATTTAATATTATTATTTTTTTTTTAAAAAAACCAATACATACCAAGATCGATACCAATAACATTGGAAACCTTTTCTTCTTTTTTAGTTTCTTTGTCAGCAGCAAATACACATGCTGTGATAAATAATAATACTAAAATTCCATATAAGAATTTCATTTTTAGTTTTATGTATTTGAAAAAATAATAATAATAATAAAAAAAAAAAAAAAAAAAAAAAAAAATGAAAATCAACAAAATATTTTGAAAAAAAAAAAAAAAATTTTTAAATTTATAACATTTTTTTTTTTTATACTGCGTCATCATTTTTTTTTTTTTAACATCGTCACCATAAAAAAAAATAAAAAAAAAATAGTTTTTTTTAAAAAACGAATTAAATATTTAGTTTAATTAATATTAAAGTCCATTATTTGACTCATTTTCTTAATATTCCCAGATTTTTTTTATAGATTTAAAAGATTTCTATTATAGTTTTCTTTTTTTTTTTTTTTATTTTTTTTAATTTTAATTTTAATTTTAATTTTAATTTTTTATATTATGGACAAAAAAAGTTTTTTATAGTTTTTCAGCAGTAATGATGGATTAATATCAGTTAATAAAAAAAAAAAACACATTAAATACTAATAATTAAATATTTTTATACAAATTTTGAATTTTTTTTTCTCAATATTTATTTAATATTTGTTTTATTTTTAAGTTATTTTTATTATTTATTTATTTATTGTATTAAGAAAAAAGGGGTTTAACAATACTTGAGCATTTAAATGTAATTTCAAGTACCATTGTATCATCTTTAGTTAACCATCCATTCTTTTTATTTATTGCCTCTCTAAATGCTTTTTGCCATCCATAGGCAGTTTTTTTTAAAAAATATTTTTCTGTAAAATCTATTGATAATAGTTAAATTATAATTAATATTATTGTTGTTAAAGTCTTTTTAAAATTATATTTACCTTTATTAAATCGTTCTTTTAAAGTTGTTATCTTTTTATGATTTTGTAAAATAAAAGAAAAGTTTACATTTATTTCAAAGTCTTTGCAATAATAAACACTTAGTTCCACAACGTTTTCACCATTAATTTCTCTTTTATTGAGATTTATTTCAAAATTGAATGGGTCAAAACTTACATTACAAATCGTGGAGGTTATTTTTGAGTAATTTTCGATTATCCATGTATTTTTGTAAGAAAAATTTTTATAATAGTTTGTGTGTATTTCTGGTTTTTGAATTTTATTAATTTCTGGAAATTGTTCATTGGTGGTGGTTGGTAAATTTAATTTGAAATTTTCTAAATCTTTTTTAATTATATGTATATTTTCTTTTAGATTATTAATTTCTTGTCCTTGTCTACTAATTGTTTCATTTTGATTAATAATTGATTGGTTTTGATTATAGATTTCATTTTGTAATTGGTGAATTTTTTTTATTTGTTCTATGAAAATAGTATTATGGTTTCCATTTAAATGGTCTTGAATTTTTGAACGTTTTTCTTTTTCTTTACAACCAAATTCTTCCAATGGGCATGGAATTAATGATTCTAAACAATTATTTGCTAAATGATCATTAATTTCCCTTTTTTCAAATTGATTTTGGCATAGCTTGCATTCTACTGGAAACGATTCGCACTCTACCTGGTGATTAATTTCATTATTTTTTACAATTAATGATTTACAATAAAAGCATGGTATGTACTTGTATAAACAAAGATCTTCATGGGAGTGGTAGAGTTTAAACCTGGAATTAAAATTGCAACCATTCTTTTCATTTTTACATTTTACAAATCTGTATTCACAATTTTCAATATGGTTTTTTAATTTCTCCCCTATAATAATTTCTTTACACCCATCACCTGTATTTGTTAAAGGTTCAGAGTCATCTGATTTGATTATATTGGAGTAATGGTAAGGACATTTGAATTTTTTTTTAAAAAGTAATTCTCTTAATTTTCTATTAGTTGATAAATTTTCTAAAGAGTTTATCTTTTCTATACACTCCATGCATGTTTTCTTTGTGCGCAGATGTCTTGCCCAACATCCTTTACATGCAGTGTGGCCTATAAAAATTTATATTATGATTAGTAACTATTGATTCTTACAGGTAAGTATGTTTTTAAAAAATTCTAATTTTTAATATCATGAATTATATACCGAATTCCAGTAAGTAAAGCCCATACTTTAAACTGGTTTCATCAGAGAGTGCTGTCAAATCTTCATCTATTCATCAACACCTTATCGAACATGGTTCAACCAAATCTTTATTTTTCTTTTTTTTCTATTAAAAAGAAAAATTATAATACTACCTACCTTTAGAACATTGATAAAGATAATCATCAAAAGAAATATCTCTGCAAATAAAGCAAGAATAAATTGCTAAATCTTTTTTTGTTAATTGGGTAGGATCTAATATAAATTGTATAGTTGTCATTATAAATTTATAGTAATATAGGTTAATAAAATGATAATAATAATTAAAATTTATATATAAAAAAAAATTTAATATAAAAAAAAATTAAAATTAAATTAAAATATAATTATTTAAATAGATTATTAATGTTAAACAACTTAAATTTGAATTTAAGTTATTTAAAAAAATAAATTAATTATTATTTTTAGGTTGTTTTCTACATTTGGATAATTAATTATTGAAATTGGGACTTTTATATAACACCCTTTTTTTTTTTTTTTTTTTTATTTTAATTATTTGAAATTATTATTATTTATAAATTATTAAAATTTTTTTTTAAACCACACTTTTATTTATTGATCACACACCTGTTCAAAGTTTCTATTTTTATTATTTTTAATTTAATAAAAACCAATATTATATAAATAAATCTTATGGTTTTTTAATTATATTTTTTTTTTTGTTTTTTAATATCATTTATTTATTTATTCATTTATTTATTTATAATTTTTTTTATTGAACTATATATATAAATTTAATATATATATAAAAAAATAAATGTTTTTTAAGATAATAATTATTATTTTAAATTTTGTATTTTTAGTTGTGAAATCAGAATGTGTTTATAATGGTTTAGATTTTTCTAAACTTTATAATCCTAATGGATATACAGGATATTCTGCATTAAATTGGGCCAATGATTTGGATGGAAGGTATAAGTTTCTTTGGAATGTGTGCGGAGTGTCAAATAAGTGTGATCAAAAAGGAGAGTCAACTGCATGTCAATTTATAGATAGTAAGGTTCAAGTAGTGGGAGAAAAATATAATGTAGAATGGAACAGTGATCCAAAATATAACAAAACCTCAATTACCTACCACACCGAACAAACTAACTGTCCAAATAATTTAAAAAGAAAATTTACAATTAATTTGATATGTACAGATGATGACCTTTATAGCACCAAGGTATTTGAAGAAGAGCCATGTCATTACAGTGTTACAATGTATGGAGCATGTGGTATTCCAATTAAAGATTCTTCTGAGGTACCACCTATAAAACCAATAGAGCCATGCATATATAATGGTATTGATTATTCAAAAGCATCATCCTTAACTGGTTATGATTCTTCAAATAATGAATACTCTTATCATTGGAACGTTTGTGGTTACTCATCAATTTGTGGTCCAAATATTGCAGCATGCCAAAAAGAACAAAAATATGAAAAACGTACACAAATTATCGGCCAAGTTTCAAAGGCACAATGGTCAATAGATTCATCAGTAAATGCAACAGTGGTAACCTATTCAACAGATAATAGAGTTTTTTGTCAAGGTGATAAACCAAGACAATTCAAAATATATTTAATTTGTAAAGATTTTAAAGATAACAATAGTAATGGAGAAGAAATAGAAATAGTAGATGGAACTATTGTACCTGTTAATGAAGATGAAGAGTGTATATATTCAACAACCATTTATACATGTGGTGAAGCAATTAAATAAATATAATATATTATTAATTGGTTCTAAAATTATTTTTTTTATAGATTAAATATATAAATAAATTTAATAAATATTGGTTTTATTGTTAAATAAATTAAATAAATAATTTATTGTTTTTTTTTTTTAATATATAAATTATTTGTTTTTTTTTTTTTTTTAAAAAAAAAAAAGATTAATTTCCTGGTTCTAAATCAACTTTAAATACTTCGAAACTTTCTCTTAAATATTCGAAAATTCTTTGGGCGATCATTTTTTGTTCGTTTGTACCGGTGTGAACTTTATCAGGATGTACAACCATAATAGCTTTACGATAAACCTTCTTAACGCCAACTGGTGTGATCAAACTGCCATTACTGGCTTTTTCCCATCCACTTCCTTCCCATAAAACTTCGTGTAGTGTTGCTAATAAAACTCTGAGGTTATTCTTTCTACCATTCTTTTCAGCCCACTGTTTAATTTTTTCTGAAATAATTGGTTCAATCATTGCTCTTTCGTGTTGATCTCTATCAACATGTGGTGATGGTGCCTGACTTGTAAAATAGTTCATTGGTGGTGGTTGTGGTTGACCATATTGTTGTTGTTGTGATGGTGATGATGTTTGATTTGTTGGTGGTGGTGTTGGTGTTGATTTTCTTTGTGATGATGGTGTAAAATCAAAGTCACCAAATATATTTTCGAATCCACTTGGTTTTTTTGGTGTTTGGGTTTGTTGTGGCTGCTGTTGTTGTGCTTGTTGTTGTTGTTGTGCTTGTGGTGGGGGTTGGTATTGTTGTCTGTTATTCATATTATTCATATTGCCCATATTACCCATATTATTCATATTATTCATATTACCCATATTATTCATATTAAATTGTTGTTGTTGTGTTTGTGGTTTATTTGGTTGTTGCTGTTGCTGTTGTTGATTAAAATAATTTGGTTGTTGTGGTGTATTGGTTGTATTTGTATTAAATGAGGTAAATGGTGATTGTTCTGGAACAAGAATTGGATCATCCCAAGATTTTTCTGGTTTTGGTGTTGGTGCTGGTGTTGGTTTATCGTACATCCAATCATCGTCATTACCCTTACTACCGCTATTATTGTTTCCACCATTAGCTTCATCCTCCCATACGCTAAATAATTTCTCTTCTTTTGGTTTTTGTTGAGAGTTTGATGGTGAAGAGTTATTGGAAAAACCAGAAGATGAGGATTCTGAATGTGGAGAAGGTCTATCATTGAATGATACTTTACTAAAATCATCATTTATATTATTAACACCAGTACTACCATTCATTCTTGATTTTGGTTCGCCGCTAGAATTATTTAAACTATTTGGATGAGAATCTACGTGTTCCTTATAGGTTGGGGGTGGAGTATTAGGTAATGGTTTACTACCATTTATATTATTATTATTATTATTATTATTATTATTATTCATACTACTATTACTATTATTCATATTATTTCTTTGTTGAGTTGGTGATTGTGAAGATGGAGTTTGTGATTGAGCTGGAGTATTTGGTGCTGTTTTCTTAACATTATAAATATCTGCTAATTGGTCGTCCTTTAATTGGTATTGGGAAAGAAGAGGTTCAATAAATGTAATCAATCCTTCTAAAAGTAAAGAGTTGGATTCGAAAAATATACAAAATTGTTGAATCATTGTAATAACACTGTGAACTATTAATTTACATCTAACAAATGATCTATTTTGTAAATGTGAAACTGTCTTTTTTGATAATGAATCGAATTCTTCTTTTGTATTTTTAACTTTTTCCATATCTCTAATAAAATTTAAGAAAATATTAGATATTTATTAAATTTAATAATACTAACATATGTTTTTTTTTATAAACTACGTACGTTGATCTTTTTAATGCATCGAAATCAAAATTTAATTTTTTTCTTTTTTCTAATAACTGTTTTGTAACCTTGTTTAATTCCTCATCTCTTTTTATTGGACGTACAACCTTATGATTTATATCATCTTGAAGTGCTGCCATATTTTCGTGGCCCATGGTTCCAAAACTATCGTATAATCTTTGAACTGACTCTTGAAAGTTTGACTGTCTATGTAAAGACTCTTTATTATTTTCGCTAGGTGATAAATTTGGGTTGTTGGATGTCTTTAAAAAGAATTTTGATAATAAACCTGTTGAAAATTCGCTGTCATCGTTTGATAATTCTGATAATACAAAGTTGCATACAGATGATGCTAATTGGCTGTTATTGAAACTCATTTTCTCCATTTGAGATATTGAACTTTGAGTTGATTCTTCGAGATGTGTTAAAAACTCCCCTAATCTTTTAAAATTTGTATATGTGTTATCAAAATGCTCGTCGTGTGTTTGCTCTGTTGCACCTATTTTTTGAAGTACTGCTTGTGTAGCTCTTCTTTGAATATCAAACATTTTCTCTGTGAATGACTCCATTGTTTTTATTTAGTTTTGAAATATTCTTTTAAAAATATTTAAATTTTTATTGCTATTTCTAATAACTATTATTTAATATTACTAAATTTGATAATAATAAATAGATTTTATTTATTTATTATTTATAAAATTTGTTTATTGTTTTGTTTTGTTTGTTTTTTTTTATTTGCTATTAATATTAAGGAAAAAAAAAAAAAAACTATTTTTAAAGTGTTAATATTTTATTATTTTATTATTTTATTAATGTACAGTTTATATAATTATATTGTAATATAAAATAAATAAAAAAATTATGTTTATTTATTATTTTAAAATTAAAATAAAGAAAGTAATAAAAAATAAAAATTATAATAAATAAATATATCAAGTAACTTTTTTAACACACAACACTAAAAAAATAATAAATACATTAAAATTTAAAAAAAAAAATTTAAAAAAAAATTTAAAAAAAAAAAAAAAATTAGTTTTTTTTTAATTTTTATTTATTTATTTTTAATTTTTTTTTATTTTTTTTTCAAATATTTCTTTTTACTAAAAAAAGAATTACTTTGAACAAAAATAATCATTTCTACACTCCATTTTAAGATCTTTAAAAATATAAATTTTATAAATTTTTGTCTTTATTATTTTAAAAATTTTTAATTATTATAAAAATTAAAAAAAAAAAAAAAATTAAAAATAATTATAAAAATTAAAAATTAAAAAACGAAAAAATTAAAAAGGTCACCATTTTTTTTATTTATATAATTATTTATTTAAAAGAATGAATAATTTAATCAATGGATTTTGCAAACTAACCCTTGCTTCAAATAGATATTTTATAAATAATAGTTATAGCAATACAAACAAAATAATAAAACCATTATCATGTTTTTATAGCACAAATATACCAAAACAAAGTAATCAAAAAATTAAAACATTTTCAACAAAACAAAAAGATAAAAAACCAATACAACAAAAAAACAATAATAATGATGACAACCATGACGATGATGATGATGAAAATGAGGGATTTATAAGCAACTCATTTCAATCATTCAGTAAAGATAAAATTATAGAAAATGAACAAGATGAAATTAAAGGACATAAAGAAAGATTAAATAAAGTACTTTCAAGATCGGGTGTAGCATCAAGAAGAAAAGCAGATGAAATGATTCGTGAAGGAAGAGTTAAAGTTAATGGTGTTGTTACAACATTGGAAAATGATCATTTTGTTTCAATTATTGATGAAGTTGAAGTTGATGGTAAAATTGTATGTATTATAAATTTTTTTGTTTAATTATAATTAAACAATACTAATATCTGTTTTTTAAAAAAAAAAGATTAAAAAACCAATGCCAAGAATGTGGATGCATTTTAAAAAACCAAAGGTTTTGGTTACACATAGTGAAGTTGAAGGAAGAGAGAGTTTGGTACCAATTTTAAAAAAAGTTTTAAAAAAAGATCATTTAATTACAGTTGTAAGTGTTGTGATGATAACAATATAAAATTTCAATCTTTCATTTTATTAATATTTTATAACAATAGGGTAGATTAGATTATTATTCAGAAGGTTTAATATTATTAACAAATGATGGAAATTTATCAAGATATCTCGAACATCCAGATAATGAATTCGAAAGAACATACAGAGTTAGAATATTTGGTAAAATTACACAAGAAATGCAAGATATTTTTACAAAAGGCATAGTTATTGATAACATTAAATATAAACCAATTGAAGTAATTGTCGATAAAGAATCCAAAAACAACTCGTGGGTAGTTATTAAAATTAAAGAAGGTAAAAATAGAGAAATTAGAAAAATTTTAGAGTATTTCAATATTAAGGTATTACGTTTAATTCGTGTTGGCTATGGCCCATATGAATTACCAGAAAGCCTTAAACATGGTGAAACCATCGAGATCCCACTCAAATCAAAAATCAAAAAATTTTTAGCCGCTTACAACAAGGGCGAAAAAACTAAAAGATATTTATTATATGAAAAGAAAAAATTAGATACAGCAACCAATAAAAACGAAAATACAAATAATTAAATAAAAATAAAACCAGTAATTTTGTAAATAAAATATATGTGTGTTTATACTTTATTTTTTATATTTTAAAAAAAAATCATATGAATTAAAAAAAATTAAAAAAATTAAAAAAAATAGTTTTATAAAAATTATATATTTTAAAATTTATAGTATATATATTTTTTTTTCAATTAACAAATAATATTTTATTTTTAATCATTTAGTTCATTTTTTGGATGAGGTTATTGATTAAGTGTTCACGGTTACCAGCATCACCACCTTGGAGGAATGGGATCTTTTTCATGTTGAAACCACCACGTGGACAGTTTAATTTGAATGGCCATAAGGTGTTGTTAACTTGTTTGAAGTTTTTACCACAGGTGGCAATTTCGTGGATGATATCTTCAACGCAGATGACACCATATTTGCCGAGTTGTTTTTCAACCATATCGTTTGAGGTTAATGGGATTCTTTGACCGTTAACTTTTAAGTGACCTCTCTTGTAAATTAATTCTTTGATTGATTTGAGATTTGGGAAACCATAGGCGACGTATGGTTCAACAAGTTTTAACATGTTGAGGGTGGCTTTGTTAATTTTGAGGAAAACACCATTGTTTAATTGTAAAAGTCTGAGGAGTTTTAAGACTTTTCTTGGTTTTGGTGAAACACCATTGATACCTCTAATACGGATGACAAAGGCAACTTTGGCTTGTGGTGGAACGTAGAAAGTACCAGAGTTTTTAGCGATTCTATTTAAACGAATGGCTTCACGTTCGGTTTTGTGGTATTCAGCAACGTATTTTTCAGCACGTTTGAAGTAGATTGAGTTTAATCTGCTGTTTTTCTGTAATTATTTTTAAATTTATAATTATTAATATTTCCAATGCTACAATGTACCTAAATATACTACTATATAAATCCACTTACTAATTGTTGAGCACGACCTAATTTGGCAACATCAACAGCTTTCTTTTGAGAGGTGGCTCTCTTTTTTAAGATTGATTCTGGGACTGGAGCAGTCTTGGTGGCTCTATATAGTTTAAATTTTAAAAAAAAAAAAATTAAGTGTGATAGATAGTGGATATAAAAACAAAAAAATATAGTGCGTAAAGAGTTGGGTATAAAAAAAGAGTTATACACGCAATGCAACTATTTTTTACTTGTCTATCCATATTATTTCACCTTTTAGATTAAAGCTTTAATAATATATATTTGTTTTATATATATACTAATTATATCCAATTCTGTTCGAAGGATGATGCTAATCTTCTCGTTTTTTATTATCTGTATAGGGATTTATTAGAGATTGATGCATGGTGATAGATAAAAGTTATTATTATTAAAGATTGATGGTTAATCCACAAAGATAAGTGATACGTGATACAGATAATATATAGAAACTACGGTTTGGTAGACATTGTTATAGAATGAAAAGCAAAAACACGAAAAAAACTAAAAAAAAGAAAAAAAAAAATTGAGTATTCGCTTTCTTGCCAATATAAAAATTTTTGTCATAAAAAAAAAAAACTGATTTTTTTAAAAAAATTTTTTTTTTTATTTTTTTAATTTTTACAGTAACCTAACTCCCAATTCTCTTTTTTCTCGCAAAGACAAAGAAATTTTTTATAAAAATTATAAGATGTCATGAAAAACTAAAATATGAAATAAAATAAACAAATATAATAATTATATAAAAGTATTATTTATTTATTATTTGTATTATTTTTATTTTTTTTTTAATTTTTTTTTTTATTATTTTTATTATTTTTATTATTTTTTTTTTATTTGTTTTTATTTTTTTTATAATTTTTCGGTTATTTATATTTTTGATTAGTTTGTTTAAATATGTATTTTTTTACTAGAATAAGATTAATTACCCTAAAATATTTTTATGTATAGAATAAATATAATTTTATGTTTTACTAGAAAATTAAAATAATTTTTAAATATTAATTTTTTTTACACTAATTAAACAATTGAAAAAATAATTTAAATTTTTTTATTTATTTTATATTTTATTAATTAAATAAGAAAATGTCAATAGAATATAAATTATTAATAAAAAAAGATTTAAAAAAAGAATTAGATAATAGAAAAATAAAATATAGTTCAAAATCATTAAAAGCAGAGTTAATTGAATTATTAATACAATCAGATATAGATAATACAAAAAAATCAAAAAAAGAAATAAATAATATAACCAAATCAAATAATATAAAAAAAAGAAAAAATAGAAATGATGAAGAGTCAGCAGAACTTGAGGAGATAAATTTGAAAAGAATTAAACAGGAACAAGAAAAAGAGGAAGAAAGAACTGGCAATCTTTTTTTAAGATGTTTCAGAAATATAGCCATTCGTAGGGAAATTTATAGTCACTTGAAAAAAATATGTAGTAATTATTATTACAAAGTTGAAGATATTAATAAATTAATAAATCATCAAGAAAGATCTTATATAAATACAATTCATTTTACACAACATGGCTGCTATTCAATTTTTATTGAAATTAAAAAATTTGAAAAGGATATAGCAAATTTAGAGAATATTTTAAAAGATATCAATAATAATGTAAATAATAATAATAGTAATATTGTAAATGGAATCAATAAAGTAGAAAGTATTCATAATGGAAATAAAGGAATAAATAAACAAGATTTAATTTATCAAATTACCCAAAAAGAAAAAGAGTTTTTAGAATTTAAAAACAAATTAAAATTTATAATTCCTCACTCAGTTTCAAATGTTAAAATATCAGGAGCTATTAAAATATTGGAAAAAATAAATTTACCAAATTCAGTTTCATCAGTTGAAATTACCGATTATTATTATTCAATGAAAGAGTTTGAATTACCTGAAAGTGTTAAAACATTATCATTAGGAGATGGAAATTATAATCGAACAAATACTCGAGTTTTGGGAAATATTTCTCCATCAATCGAGACTTTAAATTTAAAAATGAATTGTAAATTATTATTGAACAATGACCAACCATGCAATTTAAAAACAATCAATTTTTATGAATACTATTCAACGTTGATTAGTAGTTTACCAAATTCAGTTGAAAAAATAACACTAAGCAAATTCTTTGATAAAAGAAATATACGTAAAGAGTATTATGGTTTAGTACAACTTAAATAAAGAAATTATCTTTTTTAATTTTTGTGAAAAAATAATTATTTTTTATTTTTTTTTTTTATTATTTTTTTTTTTTTCGTAAAATTTTTTTAATTAATTTTTTTTATTTATTTTTTTTAAATTATTCACATTAATTAAAAAGATTTATAAAATATGACATCAAATATTGTGTCATCAATTGGCAGTAATTCATTTACCAAAGTATTCAGTAACAGTGGTAATGATGCAGTTAGTGGATTAATTCTTTTAGAGGATAGCTTAGAATCACCATCACAAAATTTATTAAATCATTTATATTCATTATGGTTACCATTAAATTCAAAGCAACATAGAAATATATGGTTTTTAAATTTTAGTTCAACAATTTCAGAATATAAAGAATTATCCAAAAAATATAATAATTGTAATTTTATTGTCATAGATTATTATTCAGATCCATTTGGTTGGAATAACAATAATAATAATACAATAGATTATAGCGATAATTTAATTCAAATACCAATGGTTTTTAAATCAACAGAGCATGATACAAATTCTATTGTAAATACAATCCAAAATGTTTATAATTGTAGGTGTTGGTTTAAAATTATTCTGGTTTTTCATTTCCTCTATTAACTCATTTTTTAAAATTAGGTGTACCAAGTAAATTTAAAACAAACCCAATTATTTTAATAAATACAATTTCAACATTAGTTTTAAAGAATGGATTATCACAAACATGTAATTTAATTAGAACATTAACCAATTATAATTTTAGTAAACAACCAGAAAAGGTAGAGGCAGAAGAAAAAGAAAAAGAGAAAAAAAATAAAATGAAATTAAAGAATAAAATAGAAACTGGTATTGAAGGTAGTGTCAGTAATAGAATTAAAATGGAAAAGAGTTTCAGTTGTATTTTTGCAATTTTACACACAGATCTTCATGAGTTTGAACCAACAGTACAAAAAGAACTACAATATATTTCATCAGTATCAATCCAAGTTACACCATTATCAGCAAAAATTAAATTCTCTGAAAATTTACCACATCCATACGAATCAACTATTACATTAATCACCAAGAAACGTTCAGGTCGTGTTGTTAGAAATATTGAATACTATTATATTAACGAACAAACTGGTAAAGTCGAATTTGACTCTGCAGAATCATTACAACTCAAACAAGAAGAATCTGAGCCAGATCCAACTCAAAATCTTTCATTTAATCTTAAACTTACAGACGAAGAAAAACAAGCAAGAGATTCTGTAGTTTTACCATATAGACATCAAGGAAACAATGAACAAACTTTAATCATTGAGGACCCAGATGACGAAGATTTCGATGATGAAGATCCAGATGACGATTTAGATATTTAAAAATTAAAATAAAATATATTAAAAAGTTTAATAAATTTTTTTATAATTATAATTTTTTTTTTATTTATAGTTTTATAAAAATATTTTATGAAAAAAAAAAAAAAAAAGAAGATTTTTTATAGCTTTTTTTTTACCCTTTTATTTTCTTTTTTTTTTTTTTTTTTTAAAAATTATTATTGTTATTTTTATTATTATTTATATTGATATCATTTTAACCTAAAATTTTAATTGCTTTTTGATGGTGGGATTTATGATTATTTGGATGTTCTAAACCAATTAGGAAAGATGACGGATTCCAATCTTGATTGTTTGGAATTGAACCAACATTACCATCTTCAGGAATGTATTCAATCTTGTTATCATCTTTTATAACTGAGAGTTTCCATCTTGAAAATTCTTTATTTGAAATATTAGCACCTAATTTTGGAAGAATTCTCGATCTAAGGGATTGACAAGATTCGCCTGGTTTATAGAGAATAGTAAATGGAATACCATGATACATTGGGTGGGTATGTTCACGGCTATAGTGTACAACAAAAACAACCTTTTCACCATTTGTTGTTAAATTGATCTCTTCATCTGTTATAATTTCCGCACGTAATTGAGAGATTTCATTAATTGATGAAACAAATTCATCTGTTAAAATCTTATCAATTCTTGATGATCTAATTTCAAGTAATCTTATTCTTGATTCATCAATATTTTCGATGTTAATTTGGCTATTTACACTGTCTTCTTGTTGTTGACCATTATTATTTTCATTTTGTTGTTGATCTTTTATAATTTCATTATTAATATTTTCTGTTTTTGGTTGTTGCTGTTGCTGTTGTTGTTGATGGTTTTGTTTAATTTGTAATAAAAATTCATTAATTAATTGCTTAACATCGCCTAGTTTTGGTATCCAAACTGAAATAATTTCTGTTTCGTTTGAATTTGGTTTTTGCCAAGTAATTTTAAAGTTTCTTTTAAATTCACATTCTTTAACTGGAATCTTGAGGATTTCGAAATAAAGTATATCTGTTAATTTGTGAGATGAGGTTAACATATCAAATAATGGTATATTATCATTTGGTTTAATTGGTGTGATTTGCGAGTCTATGGTCTTTGACATTAATCTAATGTTTTCAGCATTGGCATTGATTTTCGAGGCAATTTTGGCAGTAATTTCAGAGTATTTCATTTGTTTTGGTAATTCGCAGCTGAATGATACTTTGCTGTTGTCTACTTGTTTAATGGTTACTATCGATGTATTAATAATGTAGGTGTAGTGATCGGTGGCGGTTGGGAGCTTGAATTTGTGTTGTATGCTGTTTTGTTTTTGGAATACAATAATATCACCACTCATCATTTCCATTTTATTAAATGTTTCATTTGGTTTAATTGGTTGAATTTTAGTTGATGTAACTTCTTCAAATACTAATAGTGGTGTATCAATTGGTAGTTTACCCAAATGACACAAAAATGGTAAGATGGATGATGCTTTGGCGTTGAGATCTATAATTTTTGAACCTAAAAATCTTAATGTTCCGGTTTCTGCGTCGTAGAGCTTGAAAAATAATAGTGCATTGCCTTCTTTACTAATTTTTGGAAAAAATGAATAGCTATCTGGTGTAAAGATTTGATTATTTGGATTGTTGTTATAGTTTTGGTTATTGGATACTGGTAATGTGTTATTAGTTTGGCCTCCAACTATATTGCCTGTAATACCACTACCAATATTACTACCAGCAGTTGGTCTTGGACTAAAGCATATTTCTAAATGTAATCTGATGTCACCACCTGTACGATTTCTAATAGATTGAATAGTTGTATCATCAGACTCTGGGAACTTTTCAATTCTTTGAGTTTTGTTTCTTCTAGTTGTCCAAGACCAAATTCTTTGTCTTTCTACAGGAATTCCATAAAGTGTTGTAATTTGTTTTTTTAAATGACCTAGGTTCATATTATCATGAGTTTTCTTGAATTGCTTTGGGGGGAAACGATCAAAATCGATCAAGTCATAAGAGCGATGGTCTGCAAAATCTTCATCTCTTGTAATTCTGAGTGAGAATGTTTGCTCGTTCTCTCTTTGTTCATCTTTTTCGATTCTAGACTTTAAATGCTCTGGTATTTCAGACTCTAAAATTGGTTGGGTTAGTCCGTCATAATTGTTATTTCTAAAGTAAACCAACATATATGCATTTGCATCACTTTTGCCTGCCCTAACACCAAAATCTGAACCAAATGATGCATCTGAAACTCTTTCAAAACTTGATTTTGTAACTTCATCATCATCAAATTTCAACCAATCACCATCTCTTGATTTAATAAATGCATAGTAATGACCATTATGTAAATCACCTGAATGAATTAATACACTATTGTTTTTAAAAGAAAGGTTTTGTTAATATGATATGATAAATATATATCTTTTAAAAAAAAAATCACTGCATACCCTTGTAAAGTATAATGATAGGAAATTGATTTATCACCTGATTCATCCATGTAACGATTTAAATCTAAATTTTCTGGGAATTTATATTTATCATTGATTTTAACATTCTCATCTCTGATGGGGTCATATTCAAATCTTTTTAAATGTAGATTTAAAACTGGTGGCAATGATAAAAATTTGGCTCCTTTGTTTGCATTCTATAGTAAAATCGAATTAGGAAAATGTTAATTCAATTTAATAAATACAAATATTGTATATGTATTATCTGTACTTACTTGTAAACCATAACCCTCCGCATAATATTGATTTGAACCATCTAATCTTTCGGTCTCAGTATATTTATCGAATGATGCAGTTATATCTCTACAACCCTTGACATTTAGTGACAAATCATAGAAATATTCATCACTCTTTGATTCGTAATTGATCTTTTCACATTTTATAAAATTTTTAATTTTACCACGAAATAGTTCATCAATTGTTCCTTCTACCTTGGTCCCCTTCATTTTATCATTTAAATTGTCACAGAGCACACGATTCAACTCTTGTACATCGTGTTGTGTGAAAATATCCATAGTATCCCAGCCAAAGCTTTTGGTTAGCTCTTTAGTTGGTACTGCTTTATCACCAAATTGTAGTTTATAAAATATAATTTGAAGTGCTAATGAAATACTTTTAGTTGGTTCATCGGAATTTGTTGGTAACTCATATACAGCCTAATATTTTACAAAAAAAAAAAAAAAAACTGCATTAATACTAATTTATAGGTATAAAATGAATACATATTAAAGTGACCTACTCTTCTAAATGGTGAAATATGAAATAGAGATTGTAATAAAGAATTCATATAACATGTAGCACCTTGATTTTGTAAACCAACATAACCAGTTACTTTTTTAGAGTCGTACATAGGCATACCCGAACATGCAAATGCTTGAACTACCTCAACATTGATAATAACTGTATCATTTACAATAAAACCTAATTCTGGGTCCATTAATGCTGAAACTTCCATAAATCTATTAAATCCCCAATCTACGCCCTTTGGACTAAATAAATGTTCTGATGGCTTTCTAATATTATTTTCTGGATTCTTTTGATTAACAACCTCTAATGTAAAATGTGCTTTAATATCTGGAAATCCAAGCTGTTGAACTTCCTGTAAATCTAAAAACAATGCTATATCTTTGTCTGATGTATTACCTCTTGGAAAAATATAAACCCTCCTATTGAATTTTAATAAAATAAAAATTAGTAAATCATTTTTATAATAAAATAAAAGAAAAAAAATAACTATTATGATAAATTACCATGTTAAATCTAATAATGATCTTGTTTCTGTATAAAATGGTTTGTCTTTTTGAGAAAAATTTGTAATTTTAAATGAAGTCTTTGTTGGTGGTTTGGGTTTAACAATATTACTATTATTATTATTAATATTATTACTAATGGTATTGGTTGTAACAGTACTATTTAATGTTTGCGCACCATTTGAATCTGGTGATAATGTTGTATTATTACTATTGTCATTATTGTTATTATTATCATTATTATTATTATTATTTGTCTGTTCATTTTCTTGAGATATATTATTTTCATTTTTTAATGCTTCTTGTTGTTGAGATGTTGGTGGTGGTAATGATGTGACCTCTTTTAATATATTTTGTTGTGGTGTTTGTGGCTGTTCATTTTTTTGCTGGTTTCGTTCTTCTTGGTTACCAACAACACCATTTGTTGGTGTATTTTCATCAGCAATATTATTCATATATTTACTTTATTATTTATTAAAAACTAAACTATACAAATTTATTTATTTATTTCCTTTTATATACTAGATGTTGATATATTTATATAAAATAAATAAAAAAAATAATAAATATTAAAATAAAAAAAATAAAAAAAAGGTATTAATTAAAATTAAAAAAATAAATAAAAAAGAAATTTTAATATATTAAAAAAAAAAAAAATAAAAAATAAATTAAAAAAATATAAAAAAAAAAAAAAATAAAAATTAAAATTTTTTTTAAAATTTTTTTAAATTATTTTTAATAAAATAATTGTTTGAATGAAATAATAAATCATTTTCTTTATATTTCCTTTTATTAACTTTTTTTTCAAATTTCTTTTTTTTTTCTAATTTTTTTTTTTTCAAATATATAAAACATAAAGACATAAAACATAAAACATAAAACATAAAACATAAAACATATAATATAAAACATATAATATAAACACATGAACAAATAAATATATATATTAACATTAAAAAAAAAAATATAA